TACAAAGGGATACTAAATTGCCGTTACAAAATGACACTAAATTGTCGTTACAAAATGACACTAAATTGTCGTTACAAAGTGATACTAAATTGCCGTTACAAAATGACACTAAATTGCCGTTACAAAATGTCACTAAATTGTCGTTACAAAATGACACTAAATTGTCGTTACAAAGTGACACAAAAATTGTCGTTACAAAATGACACTAAATTGTCGTTACATAATGACACTAAATTGTCGTTACAAAATGACACTAAATTGTCGTTACAAAATGACACTAAATTGCCGTTACAAAATGACACTAAATTGTCGTTACAAAATGACACTAAATTGTCGTTACAAAATGACACTAAATTGTCGTTGCAAAATGACACTAAATTGTCGTTACAAAATGACACTAAATTGTCGTTACAAAATGACACTAAATTGTCGTTACAAAGTGATACTAAATTGCCGTTACAAAATGACACTAAATTGTCGTTACAAAATGACACTAAATTGTCGTTACAAAATGACACTAAATTGCCGTTACAAAATGACACTAAATTGTCGTTACAAAATGACACTAAATTGTCGTTACAAAATGACAATACATTGTCGTTACAAAATGACACTAAATTGTCGTTACAAAATGAAACTAAATTGTCGTTACAAAATGACACTAAATTGTCGTTACATAATGACACTAAATTGTCGTTACAAAATGACGCTAAATTGCCGTTACAAAGTGACGCTAAATTGCCGTTACAAAGTGACGCTAAATTGCCGTTACAAAATGACACTAAATTGCCGTTACAAAATGACACTAAATTGGCGTTCCAAATGCTCAACGGATGGTTCGGTGGGCCCAGAGTGGTGCGACATTGAGCGTGAGACGTTTAGCAAACAGCCGAGAGTCTTTAAACTCCCCCACCACCCCCTTCCATCACTTGCATTGTTCACCCCCTCGCTTTTTTTACCTGATTATCATCCACCCCACCCCCCACAGCACGGCCAAGGTCTCTCTGTGTGTGTGTGGCTTTGTCTTGTATTTGTCAATGTGTGTGTGTCTGTGTGTGTGTCTGTCTGTGCGTATCCTGTTCCAGCATCGGCGCATCCACACAACATCATGGATGCATGCCGGGTCCAAGCAAGAACATCTGCTGGACTACATAGTGACGGAACAGCGGATGCGAGCCCATGTCCTTGACACCAGGACCAACCATGGAGCTGATCTGCCCTCTCTCTGACCATCGATTTGTCATCTGTAAGATGCGCCTGCCATTCTTCCACTCTGGTGGTGGGTGTACACTCAGGACCCCATTCCAACTTAAGGTGGCCTGGTTTCAGCTAGCTGATGAAAGTTGCAAGCGATAATTTCATCATCGCTTGCGGCTGGGGTTGGCATCATCCCCCACTCCTCCTGATGTCGAGGGTAATTGGGCGAGGTTTAGGACTGTGACTCATGCAGCTGCAATGGCTGCTTTGGGTACGCGGTCCAGACCTCGACAGAGACCCTGGCTGATAGAGGTGTTTAGGATGGTTGAGAAAAAGCGACAGGCCCACTCTAACCGTCTACAGCATCCCACGTCAGAGAATGAGGAGGCTTACCGCAGCCTTCGCTCGGAGGTTCGGAGAGCCGTGAGGCGCTGCAAGGATGGGTGGTGGTCGCGGGTTGCTGAGGAGATGGAGTCTGCCTCAATGGCCCGCGATCACAAATCCCTATTCAACTCTATCAAAAAAGTAACCTGCAGCGCCACACCTCTTACCATCATTAGGGGAAAAAAACGGTGATCCGATCTCTGACCCCCAGGAACAGGTTTGCAGATTTGCTGAGCATTTCTGTGAAGTCCTGGAGGAGGGGAAATCCTTCGACATGGAAAACATCGTGGGACAAAGTGGGGATGACCCTGCTGAGGCTGCGGTGCCTCAAATATTTGAAGAAGTCACCCCCTGTGAGCGGCTGGCTGAGGTGCCATCTGTTGAGGAAGTACTAAAGGCGATCCAGAGTCTGAGACCAGGAAAGGCACCGGGCAGAGATGATCTCCCAAGCGAAATGCTGAGGGAGGGTGGCGTTTGTGCACAGACTGCCCTACATGACATCATAACAACAGTCTGGACCACTGGACGGGTTCCGCAGGATTGGAAGGATGCCCCTGTGGTCCTCATCTTTAAGAAGGGGGACTGCACAGACTGTAACACCTACAGGGGCATCTCACTCCTCAGTGTGCCAGGAAAGGTCCTAGCAAGGATTATTCAACATCGCCTTGCCAGGCACGCTGAGGAGAGGCTTGCGGAGCCCCAATGTGATTTCAGGAAAGGGCGGTCCTGCACAGATGCCATATTTTCTGTCCGTTTGCTACAACAGAGGTGTAGGGAATTCCAACAAGACCTACATCTCTGCTTTATTGACCTCGTCAAAGCCTATGATACCATCAGTAGGCCTGGGCTCTGGGTTGTTCGTACTTTCGGAGTCCCTGACCCTCTGCTCACTATTATTAAGGACCTTCATGGTCGTGAGCGGGCCCGGGTAAAACTACGTGGCCGGGAGTCGGAGTCATTCCCTGTTCCCCTTGGGGTGTGACAGGGATGTCCTCTGGCTCCCACATTATTTAACATATTTTTCGACCACGTAGTCTGTGAAGCCTTTGATGACTGTACCAGAGGCATTTCCATCTGGTACAGATACAATGGGCGGCTGATCGATGCCCGGGTGCGGTCAAGGAATGGCTCCCTATTGGTCAACCATGTTATGTATGCCGATGATCTGGTAATTGCCGCTCACTCAGAGGATTTGGAGGCGCTGCTGCTGAACCTGGAGCGTGCCACGAAGAGGTGGGGCCTTACCATCAGCCCCACCAAAACTAAGCACCTGCCTGGGTATTTTGTACCATCGGGCAACCCACCCACACAACTCCCAATCGGTGATGGGGCAGTTGTGGAGAGAGTGGAGAGTTTCCCATACCTGGGCTGTGTGCTCATGACTGGCTTCGGTTTGATAGCAGAGGTCTCACTCAGAATCAGTCGAGCGGCATTATCTTTTCATCGGTTGCGTAACGCTGTGTGGAAGCTACCTGGTCAGTCGCTCCGCACGAAGCTTCAAGTCTTCTCGGCCATTCCATCCCTTCTCTACGCTTGCGAAACGTGGACCCCCCTAATGGAGCATCTTCGCAAATTGGAAACATTTAGGTTGGCCTGCCTACGATACATCCTAGATTTAACCAGGCTGGATTGTGTGGGGAGCTCACAAATCCTAGAAAGATCTGTGCAAAGTCCCATCGGTGAGCTCCTCCGGCAGGCAAGGCTGCGTTGGCTGGGTCATGTAGCCCGCATGCCCAGCCACCGCATGCCGAAACAGCTTTTGTTCAGCCGGATCGAGGGGGCTAAACCGGCGCGGTACGGGCTAGAGAAGAGATGGAGTGATGTGGTACAGGAGGATGTGGAGCTGAGTGGACTTGCCGATGACTGGTACCAGTGGTGTCAAGATCGGCCTCTGTGGAGGAGGCTCGTGAAGGATGCTACTGGGCAGTTGGAGGCAGCCGCCCTCCAACAACAACGGAGGGCGGAGGAGCGACGCTCACAACAACGAGCGGAGCTCCGGGTGGCTAAAGCACAGCAGGTTGGCACAGTAGGGGGCACAGGTGGTGCATCAGCCAGTCATCTCAGTCAGTCGACCCGTGGCACCTGGGTCTGCCCCGTGACCTCCTGCCAGCAGGCGTTCGACACTTCGTGGCCTCAAGGTGCACCTAGCCTGGCACAAGCGTCGTGGTGACGTCACCGCCACTTAGTGGCTAATGGCGGTTGTTGTGTGTCTGTGATTTGCTGTCTTTGTGTCTATGGGGAGTGGTCGTTGCGTCTATGGGTAGTGTGTGTCAGTGCGTGTATATGAATGTGTCCATGTGTATATAGTATTCGTGTGTATAAACGAATAGGTTTTTAACAGTCAATATCAGGATTCATAATTGAGGTTCAGGTTAGGCCACCTCATTGTCTGGGGGTCCATTCTTTGTCCAAAGACATAGCTCAAACAAATTAAATTGCCACAGGCGCAGCAGTTTAAGGAGCCACAATTATCATCATTATTACGATCATCATCATTGTCAGATCAGTCACCGGTGAATTGAAGATCAATTCGCAAGATCCGGTTAAGTCGGAATATCTGCCACCTGAACACGAACCAGCAGCCTCTTAAATAGACGCCTCATGGACATCGTCACCATTTAGCCAGATCGTGGCCTCACCCAAAATAAAGTACGAGTCGCTGGTGTGTGTGTCTTTGTGTGTCTCTGTGTGTGTCTTTGTGTGTCTCTGTGTATGGGGAGCGGTGGTGTAGTGGTTTAGCGCGCTGTCCTACGAACCTGGAGGACCCGAGTTCGATTCACGCTCACGGACAACACTGGTGACGATTATCTGAACCGGTCTTGGGCCTCCCCTAGGTCGACTCAGCCTCAAATGAGTACCTGGTGCGGTGTGTAAACATCGCCACTGGGGAGACAAAGGCGGCCGGGCGTGGTGCTGGCCACCCACCCCCTCGTGTGCCGTGCCGGACTTCATAGGTGCTCGCTAACAGCACTTGCCCCAAAGTCTGTTAAGGCAACACGGGGGATCTTGGTCTCTGTTATGATTGTCGGTGTGTCGTTTCCTGTTGTGTATTTGCGCCTGCGAACGTGCCAAAGTCCACGTGTGTGAGGCTGTCTCTATCTAGCACAGAGAGAGCATCCGTGTTGTCTTCATGCCCTTCTCTGTTGACTTACCTCCACCTCGTCCTTACGATAACGCACAGCACATGTGAATACATGCATGCAGTAACTGCATCCACCACAGCAGCATTTAACATCAACGTATGGCCAAACGCATCAGTAACTCCACTAAACGTGCCCATCACGAAACCTTTTACAACACGTGCCACCACTGTACGCAACTCTGTGCACCAAATGTACGTGACCAGCATGTGTACACGCGCCCGCATTGATCGTGTGTACATGTGCGTCTGTATAACATGTACCACACCTGTACCACACCTGTATCGATGCATCCGTGTGCTGGCTCTGTTGAGATTTTCTCATCCTCTTCCTTCCCCCATTGTGGCTTCCCTTCTTGTACGGATGGCGGCTGTTGAGGATCCAAAGGGAGGTTATCCACAGGGCTGATGCCGCCTCTACGCCTGGAGCTCGCCGGCTGCTGAATTGTGCATGCGTATTAAGGCGGCACGCGTGTGTCCGTGTGTGCGACTGTGTGCACAGCTATTCCGCCCGTGTGTGTGCCCTCGTGCGTCACCAGCCCAAAGTAAATGAGCGCCGAGCATCCCCAAACACAGGAGCATCAATTACAACACTCGGGAGGCCAGCACAGTAATCCGTGTGGGTGTCAGAACGCCCCACACCTCTTCAACACGAGAGACTACGACCGTCGCTGTGACATTGATGATGATACGGCGAGCCTTCTTGGGTCTTTAACACGATTTGTACGCACACTCGGCGATCATGTCTTTGCGAGAGACGCCTTAAGACTGTCATTCACCCAATGATATTTGTTTTCCCCTCCGTTTCCACTACCACCATGGTGGAAACGCCTGCTCATGAACGAATTATGCCTGGAAATGAGTGCTGCAATTATATATTGAAAAAAAACCGGGCAACTTATTTTCAGTAACAGCTCACCACGGTGGAAAAATGTCATCTCCCTCGCCTGGTTTGCAAAAGGTCGTGGATTCGATTCCGACCCCTGTACAGTGTTCATCTGCTGACCTGAAGAGTGGATTAGGAGTTTGTATGTTCTCCCTCCGCGTTTAGAGTAATTGGCTGCTATGCATTTCCACATAAGTTACTTCTCGTTAATTTCTCCAAAAGCAAATTTTTTTTTGGTATTTTGACCAGATACGGCTCACTTACCATGTGGCCAGGTCACGTGTGAAAAATAGCTATGTGGGCTTTACCTGGTAAAGTAATTTTAGTTTTCAATTGTTTCGTTTTGTAAGTGACCCTTTCTTTGTGTGTACTCTTAAAATAACCGAGTCGATTCTCTCTGCAGGTTCTTGGCAAGGAAAGGAGTCTTGGGTACCAGTCCCTCGTCCAACATTTCTCATCCGATACCGGAAACTAGTGACTTCCATTTGTGATGGGCTCGTGAAATGCACCCACCGCACGCGTGGCCAAAGAAAACACGGGGGGGGGGGGGGGGCGGTTGGACACATTTTCATTTTTTGGAAAAAGGTTTATTTTCAAAAAAAGAAGAGAAGTGCAACCCAAAGAAAGTAATTCGACAAAAAAAATGGCGGGAAAGTCGAATGCCATTTTGTGCTTGGCGATGGAACGCAAAGGGAAGGCCTTGCCATCGTGAAGCTTTGCGGCACGCCTCCCTCTTCCAAAACAAGACGCATCATTACCCAAAATGTTGGCGTTTGTTACAACTTTTGCCTTGTTTCTTAAAGATGTCATCAACACATTAACTTTATTTCAAATTTCTTTTTTAAAGAGCCCTGCTTGAGCCACAGCCCCAAATTTTCGAAAGCGGTGGTGGTGTCATCTTGCATCTGAACAGGGCAACCATAAATCAATTTCCCGTTTTCGTGAGGGAACTCATGAGGAAATTACGACCACCTCTACGAACTTGGGAACTGCTAAACTTTGGAAACATTTAATTCCAATTATGCTTGTATCCTTATGCTGCATTGTTATTTATGTAAAAAATAAGGGATGTTATTTATTACCAACATCGACATCACTTTCGCTTTCACCAGCTCAGCGTTGATTTAAAAACGAGAGAACCGTGAAATAATTGAGAATAACATCTTTCCCCCTCCTCGATGTCAGTTCCCGGACAGCGTAATACTGAAAGGTGTCTCCGACGGTCTGATGGCTTAGTCACGTCAATTGCCTCTCACAGATGTGGCATAATAATAACAATAAGAATAAAAAATAATGTGTGTGCCGTACCTCTCTCGTCACCACCCGCTCAACAATGCCAACTCGAGCGGGCAGACAGAAGCCGGGTTCTTGTAAACCATGTCACCACAGTTCCAAACACCCTGACTAGAACTGGTCTACATCTGAATCTGCACCACCAAATGCTTTTTACTCCCGTTTCGTCGCATAATCTCATCAACAAGTATTTGGCGTTAGGTGCGTTGCGGTGTTGTTTGCTTTTGTTTTCTCTCATTTATTCCGGAATAATTAGGCGTTTGATAAATCTATCGTCTCATCAGAGATCAAGGCCAGGGGGTGCAGCAGTGCAGAGGTCGGCAGGTGAAGCTGACAGAGCAGGGAAGAGAGCAAGATGAGAAAAAGAGCAGTTAGCAGAAATCATCGTCGTCGTGTGTGTCATTAACAGCCTATCGTCATGGCAACCGATCACAAACCAAATATACTTCCAACCATAAACCCTGAGGTATTATTTAGCTGCGGGTTAGAGATAAGCGAGTGTTTTGGGCATACTCATGTATAATCACATTTCTGTCATGTCAACATCTTTAAGTTGACATGCTGTTAAGCTTCCTGTGTCATGTTACCTTCCTATGCTATTATATGTTAAATTTGCTCAAGATGTTTGTCCTTCTTGCAAAGTGAAATATTCAAATAAGTTTAAAAACAACAAAATACCTTTCAACTGTCGGATTTCATTTTACTTAACATCCAAAAGGTAAAAATAAAATAAACAAACTTTGTTTTTGGAAATCTAGCGGGATTTCCATTTCAACACAATGTAACAATTTCCCTTAATCACTCTGAAACACCTTTAAAAAAAAAAAACAACCCAAAACCCCCCCCCCCCCCCCCCCCCCCCCACAATTCGTGATCGGTTTCCACGACGATGCTCGTTAAAGTGCTCATGGACACGGTGAAATATCGGTCAGGCGTCGGGAAGCTCCCACGGGGAGCGGCGCTGAGCGGCTGGAGGAGGAGGGCCGGGCCTCCAGATGTTATCCAGGCCACTGCACCCAAACGGGTTGAACGGCGCCAGCGCCGCATCGCCGTGAGCGGGGTGCGGCGCCGGAACCAGGCGATCGCCGGCGCCGCGACCCACGATGCCCGACTGGCAGCCAGGGTGGCCGGCGAACGGAGAGGAGGACGACGAGGAGTTTGACGACGACGAGGAGTTTGACGAGGAGGAGGCCTGCAGCGACAGCGGGAGGGCGGAGCCGGGCGGCGGTGGGGCCACGGCGGACGGGTGAGACGAGGGCGACGTCGGGTGGTGGTGGTGGTGGCCAGGCGCGGTGGAAACGCTGAGCGTGAGGCCGGTGTCGCCCGGAGTCGACCAGATGGAGCCGAAAGGGTGAGTCCACATGTTGTTGGATGCGCCCATCAGCAGTGGCTTTGGGGTGGGGGTAAACACACAGGCACGTGGGTTTACTGTATAGCTCGGTAGGCCTCACTCGGGAAACACTTCAGAAGTTCTGAGCTGCGGCACGCGGAGGTCAACTCCAATGCATTCGTGATTGTTCCATACAGCTCTCCGATGTGTTTTTAGGTTGTACTGTGTGTTTTTTGGCATGATGTCCAACATTTCGCTCCATGTGCTGGGAGCTTCTTCAGTTCCTTCAGTACCATATTTTGAAACTCCCAGTACGTGCAAGCGACACAACAGACCATGTGGAACAACATGCGTACAACCTGAAGACACATCAAAGAGCTATACAAGCAAAAGACTCATGGCCTGCAAAGCACAACTGGCTTTCTTCCCTTGTGAGTATTGTGCTTTTATGTGTGGTTTAATCTTTGGGCCAATCATGCATGCGAAATTGAGCAATACAATTTTAATTACAGGCATGATGGGACACACTCGCTTCTCTTAAGGTTAGCCTGGAAAATTTAGAGTCTTAAAAAGTACCGTACCCTTTTTTGGAGCCAGTTGAATGTTATCTCTCTAAGACAGACGTAATTAGTTTCACTGACATGTCCAATTTATTTAATACTGTGACGATAACCACATGAACATGCTGTCACTACCGGTCGAGTCAATGAGAAGCCAAGATTTGAATTTGAACCTAGATCACGAGACGCACAGAAGAATACCAAATAACATAGAGCAACCAAGAAAAACACGTCATACAAAAATGTGATACAAAAAGAAGCTATTTGAAATAATGAGTGACAATCCGGTGTATTTGAAAATCCGGCACCCCCCCCCCCCCCCCGAAGTCGCTGGATAATCGATGATCGATTGTATTCCAAGCTCCCCTTTGTGAGATCTGCCCACTTGAAATGACCGAGCGGTAACGCGTTTGCCGCTTGTTGCAGAGTCGCAGTTCGAACCCAGTGACCGCCCTGGTTAATAAAAAAAAATACACGCCGTCTGCTTCACTGCCGGTGTCAAAAGATCCTGTTGGTATCATGGCCCAAATTTGTAAAACACACAAGCAACGTCGCCCCGAACTGGCAGACTAACAACCCATATGCAGGCGGTGCTGACTGCGTCGCATGGGGGCAAGCTACTACTGGTCAGAACCACGGCTGGACTGCAGCAGGGTACTCCCTATCTTCGCACTACGAAAAACCTTCTCTGCCGTGGGACTCACCGAGCTGGTGGGGCTGGTGGGCGAGGAAGGCCCAGTTGACCACAGCCCCTGGGAGGGACGCGAGTCGGTCAGCAGGACGCTCCACGGAGAGGCCGACGAGCATCGCGAGGACGGGGCCGAGCACGGGGGGGCGGACATGACGGCTGGGGGAGCCACCGAGGCCGGCGGGGAGCTCCCATCGCCGCCGGACGGGCCGCAGTTGTAGTTGGCGGCCCATACGGCCAGGCCGCTGCCGATGCTGCCCACGGAGCTTTGGGGGCCCGATCCGGAGCGAGAGCGGCCCAACACTTTTGGGAAACGCGCACACACACACACACGTCATCACACGAGTATAGGTGTAGGCATCAAATTGCTTGCTCACGCCACTGCTGGGGGGGTGGGCTTTCGCTCAAGGGAGCTCCAGAGAAACCTTGAGGTTAAAAAGATGTTTCTGTAACATCTGGTAGTTTACCAGCAATGGGTCAAGCAAGCCTGGCTGTTGATGAGACAATGTATGTAAAAACCAGTCTAGAGTTTGCTTGTATTTAACCAATGCTGCTAAAATGATCAACTCCCAGAAAGCCTTGGTGGAAGGACAGATATACGATGGTGATATATTGTGTCCTTGTTGATCGTGTGACCTTATACTCCCAACAATGCTACTAACTATTTTGTGTTAATCATAGCTTAATAACGCCAAGAGGCAGGGGACAACGGGGGGTGCTTGGAGCAGTACCTCCGCTGAGGTCGAAGGAGTTGGAAGGTCCAAAGGCGGAGAAGGTGAGCGGCGGAGTGTAAGGGGGCGACTGAGTGAACACACTGGCCCTGTACGCGTTCACACTACACACGGGGGCGGGAGGGGACACGTTAGACACGCTAGCACGTCACGCGCACACCAGAGAGAACAATTTGACAAGTCTACCGACTTCCTTTCGATGCAAAGCGGGCGTACCTGCTGGCCAGCACCTCATCCCTGGGAACGGTAGGCTCTACCAAGCCACAGGGCTCCTCCAGCATCAGGCTGCCAGTGGAGTTGGACTTCTCCAGCACCGCCTTCCTGGGGTCAGCCAGTGGAGCTGCTGATGTGACACACGCAGAACATCTGTTAGCCCCTCATGCAATTCTCCCCTTTAAAAAACGCGTATAATGTGTTCCTAACCCAGGCGACTGTGCTACCAATGCACAGGTGCATTTATACTGAAGGATATAGGACAAACATGCCTCAGGTTAAGGTGAACACTTAATTTAGCATGTGAAAATAATATTTTAGTGCCCCTCCATAATCCAATTAAGCACGGAGGTGCACGCTTGTAATTGCACTGAGAGACGAAGAGAGGAACACACGGATCAGAGAGGGGGAACGCAAATTAAGACGCATAACGTTTACCGTAAAGAAAAATAAGTGTGGTTGGTCAGCGCACGTCGCTAGAAAGAATGATGGGCCAAGGTCGGAACCAACAGCGGAGCCGCGACCAAAAGAGGAAGCGTGCCAAAGAGGACGTCCAATGAAGAGACAATCTTGTGTGGAGTGGGTGCAAGATGGATCGTTGAAGAGTAAAACCATGAGAGACGGCTCGGGGAGTGGATTGACCACGTCTGATGATGATGATATCCAATGTATGTAGGTGACACGTACAAGAGCAACATCAACATTCGTTTATTTGTTAAAATCGATCTGTAAAATTTCACTTTAATGTCCGGAGATAATAATGCAATATAGAAGGAGGGCACGGGTAGGGAATTAGCGTTACCAATCATCTTCTCGTGTCCAGCAGCAACAGCGGCAAACGTGGGGTTTCCGTTCCTCCCAGGAAGTGAAGTAGCTTTCGTCAACTTCCCCTTCACAGCGTGCCCGGCGCTGCCATTTGGCTTCATTCCGACGTCACTGCGGACGAAACGAAAATGACTCGAGCCCGACAAAAAGTGCTCCCCTCGCTCACGTCTTCAACATCAATGTCAAGTGATTACCGTGTGCAACCCTGTGGCATTAGAGAAGCAAAAAATGCTGGCCTGAGACTCGCTTATCCCGACTAGTTTCGGCAGCGGCCATATCCCAAACTAAGGTCAGTTTAACACGTAGGCTTTCGCGACAAATATCATCCATAATACAGGTTTCTTTTTTGTGGGTTAGATCGCGTAAATATAAATGTTGTGTCATTGAACCCGCCACTACCCGACAGCCAATTCGTAAGGTTTGTCACGTAAACGGAATGTGCCAATTCGTTACTAGTACAGCACAAGGTTTTGTTGGAGATAAAATCCACAACATTTAATGTTACGCGATCTAACAAAAAAATAAACCGTATTACTGAAGTTACAGGTCAATATTTTTACGCTTCTGTCGCAGCCCAGAAGCACACTTTTTATAATTTCACCCGATGCCGCGTCTACATCTGTCTTCCGCGTCTATGACCGAATGGCAATACAAACTTTTCCATACCCGTTGCTCGCGACAACGCTGCTGTAACTGGCCCCCTGCTGAGTTGGTGCTGGCGAGGAAGGACCCGATACGGGCGACCCGCGAGAATGCCTGTTGAGAAGCGGTTCGGCGTTGAGCGTTTGCAGGGAGAGCTGGTGAAGGCTGTCCGTGGCTGGTAACAAAACGGCACGGTAATCATTTTAGGATGGAACAACAAGGCACACATCTGTACCCTGCATAACTTCACTCGCATATAATGCGCGCCAAAATTACAAGACAATTATCAGTTAATTCATTCCTAAAGTGGCCGCGTGTCTCCATTCACCAATGGAGCATTGGATGGTGTTAACCTGCATTGAGCCGGTGGTGAAAATTTCACGATCTCATGATGGGGAGCGGCATCTCCATAGAAAAACCACTTCTGACTTTCTACCAAAACTTGAATACTTTATCAAGTACGTGCAAGGATATGATCCTCTTTTGCTCTCTCATGGGTTTTTGGGTTGTACCGCGTGCCAAACAACACACGGTACAACCCAAAAGAAACATCACAGAGCTCGGCAGCACAAACATGATAATATACGCAGGATGATTTGTATGTACAATGATCATGAGAATGGTGAGGAATCAGCCCAGAACTACACGGGAGGATCTTGTCAATGATCTCAAGGCAGCTGGGACCATAGTCACCAAGAAAACAATTGGTAACACACTACCCCGTGAAGGACTGAAATCCTGCAGCGCCCGCAAGGTCCCCCTGCTCAAGAAAGCACATATATATGCCCGTCTGAAGTTTGCCAATGAACATCTGAATGATTCAGAGGACAACTGGGTGAAAGTGTTGTGGTCAGATGAGACCAAAATGGAGCTCTTTGGCATCAACTCAACTCGCCGTGTTTGGAGGAAGAGGAATGCTGCCTATGACCCCAAGAACACCATCCCCACCGTCAAACATGGAGGTGGCAACATGTTTTGGGGGTGTTTTTCTGCTAAGGGGACAGGACAACTTCACCGCATCAAAGGGACGATGGACGGGGCCATGTACCGTCAAATCTTGGGTGAAAACCTCCTTCCCTCAGCCAGGGCATTGAAAATGGGTCGTGGATGGGTATTCCAGCATGACAATGACCCAAAACACACGGCCAAGGCAACAAAGGAGTGGCTCAAGAAGAAGCACATTAAGGTCCTGGAGTGGCCTAGCCAGTCTCCAGACCTTAATCCCATAGAAAATCTGTGGAGGGAGCTGAAGGTTCGAGTTGCCAAACGTCAGCCTCGAAACCTTAATGACTTGGAGAAGATCTGCAAAGAGGAGTGGGACAAAATCCCTCCTGAGATGTGTGCAAACCTGGTGGCCAACTACAAGAAACGTCTGACCTCGGTGATTGCCAACAAGGGTTTTGCCACCAAGTACTAAGTCATGTTTGCAGAGGGGTCAAATACTTATTTCCCTCATTAAAATGCAAATCAATTTATAACATTTGACATGATTAGACATCCTTTGCCAGTACAAAAATGTAATAATAGGGTTTTTCCTCTTTTTTCTGGCAACAAAACTGAAACCTTTTTACAAGGATTCATGTCTGCATTAACCACAATACCTGCAGTCAAAATGCAAACAAAAAACATACTATGATAATATATGCATTGTCCTTGATTGGTCCACACCAAGGGACGGCTTTCTTTTGAGCCTCGACCCAATTGGTGCTCGACCAGATGACGCCTTTTGGCGCCATCTGGTCATGAATGAATCCTTGTAAAAAGGTTTCAGTTTTGTTGCCAGAAAAAAAGGGGAAAAACCCTATTATTACATTTTTGACATGCTTTTTCTGGATTTTTTTGTTGTTATTCTGTCTCTCACTGTTCAAATAAACCTACCATTAAAATTATAGACTGATCATTTCTTTGTCAGTGGGCAAACGTACAAAATCGCACCGTAAGTCGCCAGCCGTGCTAATCGAAGGTGCACGGTTGGCTACCTATACCGTTCCTCTACCAACTGAGTCACCGTGCAATCCTTACCGGTTACTTTATCCAGCAATTATCTAGCCATGGCATTTAACCGACGCAACACGGCTCTTTTAGATTTTTCATTGTTGTTGGCAACAGATAAAATTCGCGAAACGGACGAGTGACACGACCAACGAGGGCGGCGCACGGACTTACAGCTGCTGGCTTTGCCCGCCATGGATGGGAGGTCCCACTCGGGTGGAGGGGAATGGTCCTTCTCCCCCTCCGAACTGCTGTTGGTCCGGCTCGCCGTGCCGCTGCTCTCTGGGTCCGACGCGAACGCCGGGGAGGTCTTGCCACCACCGCTGCCATTGCCGCCACCACCACCTCTGTCTGTGCCCACCGTGCTCAGGCCAAAGCTGCCGCGGGCACCCATCGGACCGCCGCTTCCTGCACGTGGGAATTCACGGACACAATCGTTTTGTGACGCTCGGCACCATCTGGCCTGCACCGCCGATGCGTAATTTCTTTAGAACTGCTTTTTGTGTTTAGCTTGTTGTCTCTCCCCCGCACCTCCGATTCGCGCGGTTGGCTACGTACAGTGGAAAATAAGTTCCACAAACAAAGATCGGAACACATGCTGACAACAGCACCAAATCATGCAAGAAAATGAAAAGCATATTGGGTTGTTTTATAACTGTGTTTTCTCCCTCAATTATATACCAACTATGCCATCGGTGTTATGTATCTTAGGATTTAATGAATTTCCATTAGAGCTCTCGCAGAAAGAATAGCATCGTCCAATGTCAGAGAACGGCCTCTGGAATGTCATCACAAAATTACTCCTGACTTTTCTTCAACTAGATGGTGTACCTTCTCATCACCTACTGTCACATGGCGTAGGGGTACACGTGTGTGTGTGTGTGTGTGCATAGACACACAAAACTGAGGGCGAGTTTGTGCATGTTTATTCGTGTGTGCGTGTTGTATGTGTGCATGTGTTCATTCCTGTGTTGTGTGTGCATAAATGCATGCGTGTCGCACCCATGTCTGAGTTGTCTGTGTGTGTGTATTCACGTATGTGTGTGTGTGTGTGTAGCGGTTAGCACGCTGCATTGCGATCCGAGTTCGATTCCCGCTAACGGTGAACAGCAGTGACGATTATCTGAATCAGTCCTGGGCCTCCCCTAGGTCAACCGACCCCCTCATGTACCGTTGCCGGCCTTTCATAGATGCTCGCCGACGGGCACTTGCTCCTGCAGTCTCTTGAAGGCTATGCGGTGGGGGGGATCTTCGTCTTTGTTGCATGTGGCGTGCGTGTGCTTTACGTGTGCGCGCAAGAACCTTTGCCGCGCTGTTTGGTGAAGCTGCCATGCTTGCTGTTGCGAGGGTTCACGTCGGCCTTGAGGGAGGAGCCACTGGCTGGCTTGCCGGAGAATCCCGACGAGTCCTTCCTGCGCTGCCGCTGCTCAAACTGCGTCGTGTAGGGCAGCTCCAGGGAGCTGGGCACACATCGACCACGCATTCAATTCATCATTTCGCTAATGAACAATTAGACATCACACACCGCCGCGTGCTCGCACGTTCGCGCGTTCGCTGCTTGTTTCATAGGTCTGCGGTTCGAGCCCGGTGGCTACCCTGGTTAATACTGCGAGTGAATTAACTTTGAATGCATTACACGCAGTCTGCTTCGCAGTGGACGTTAAAGATCATGTGACGTTATTCGAGAAATCGTAGACCACGTGTCGGGTCTCACAGTCCGAATTTGCCAAATTTTAAATGACTTGCATATTACTTCCATGGGAAAAAAGCCACATTGGCAACATTGCCCACGAGTGGCAGACTACTGCCCACTTGCAGGCCGGTGCTTCGTACACCTTATGCCACACAGGGACAGCTGCCACCGTGGGCTACCCTGGGGGCTTATTAGGGCAATGGAGTGGTTGAGATGAGATGCGATGTAGGACACTATTGAGCTGCGTAGTTTATTTAACGACCCTATGTCATATCTCCGAACGCCATCATATCTCCTAACTGGCTGCCTTGGGCCCAAACATAGACACGCGAGCACACACAAAACACAGAGATCCCTCCATTAGCCTTATGAACAAAAATCCAGGGAAATCGCGCGAAACCAAAGTTTAACTACGTCGAACCGCGCCGGCGTTCACCTGGGCTCCCGCAGGTCAGCATAGGGGTCGCGCCGAGAGCCGCCATTATTCTTCCTGGGGCCGCCACCACTTGTGGCAGCCACCGCCGCCGCCGCCGTCACCGCCGCCGTCACCGCCGCCGTCATCGCCGCGATGGACACCCCCCCCCCGGCACCGCTGGCCCTGCTACCGTAGCCGCCGTCTGCGCTAAGTTTACGTGCTGGAGGAGAGACCTGGCTCCTTGGCTTGAGCAGCTGTTCGGAGGCCTGCAGGGGTAGAGACATGGTCGAGAGAGAGAGGAGCGTCGGCGTTGTTAAAACGTGACCACACGCGTGTACCACAGCACTCGCTGCACACGCTCATACGTCTCCTCCGTAGGTCGTTTATTTTCGACTGCTTCCCTATTCCTGTAGCATGTGAAGCACGGAGCGATACTTTCTGTTGTTTAATATCACGACCGATGTAACCATGATTGTAGTTAAGATCTGCAATCTAGAATATCTGTACCGTCCCAGAACGCCCATGAAAGAGAACAGCTCATTGGGCCCTTCTTGCTGAAAGAAATAAAATCTATCTCAATACCCCAAGACATTAAATGCACTTATAATTATGTGCGCACGCATATATGTGTGCGAGCATGAGCATAGGAGTGGTTCGTGGGGAGCAGTGGTGCAGTGGTTAGAGCAATGCGCTGCGAACTCGGCCAATCATCAGCGGCGGTTGACATCAGAACCATCCATGGGACTTCTTTCGGTGAACTCAGCAGCTCAGGTGAGTACCTGGTGCGATGTGTGAACATCGCCACTGAGCAGACAAAGGCGGCCGGCCGGGCGTGGTGCTGGCCACCCACCCGCTCGTGTGCCGTGCCGGCCTTCATAGGTGCTCCCAAACGGCACTTGCCCCAACAGTCTGTTAAGGCTGTACGGAGGGGACCTTTGTCTTTGCTTTGACGGGGGGGGGGGGGGGGGGGCGGGGGATGGGTCACCTTGTGGGGGTGCGGTGGCTCCAGGTCGGGGTTGGAGGCCTCGGTGGTCGTGGACGACGAGTCGTCGTCGTCGCCTCGCCCGGCAACGCGCCGCTCGCGGTCCTCGCGTCGCTTCTGCAGCTTGGCCACCTTGCGCTGGACCGTCTTCTTTCCTGCCGGCGCCACGCGTCGTCAGCGTTAGTACTTTAACGTGTACTCTATCATCACCCTCGTCGTCGTCGTGAACCTCTACAACACTAGCGGCAGCATGATCATCATCATCATCAGTGGCATCATCATAATTATTTAAATTGTTAAGAGCATCATCATCCTTGTCAAGGCCTCACCATGAGCATGAACATGATTGCCAATATCATCATGATAATTTATCATTGTCGAGATCATTAACATCAGTATAATCACCACTATCACGACGATGCCCTTCATTGCTCTCCTTACATAATACAAGGTGTATATGGTTGAATGGCCGAAAATAGAACGCAATGTGTACAGTGTCTCAATGCTAACATCTTTTTTGCAAGATGATGGGTTAAAATAATAGCTACGGTTAGCTCAGCTTCATCAACCTTATCATCATCGTCAACAACATGTGCATCACAATCGCCACCACCATCACTATCAAAACATTCATCGTTATAATTTTATCGCCACCATCATCACCACTGTCGCCGTGATTACAACAGTGACTATCATCGCAATTATTACGATCATCGATAGCATCACACCACGCCCGTTGTGTCCCAGCGCTGTGTTTCAACGGGCCGGCACCTCGGCTGCTGCGCTTGGAGTGCGACGGTTCATCTCCGTCCATCTCGCCCACGAGCGCCTCCATCGCCGTAGTCACCGTCGTCGATTGCTCCGATCCCTCGCGCTCGCCCCTTTCCTCCTCCTCCTCTTCCTCCTCCTCCAGTGCCTCCGCCTCCACCACCTCCGGCTCCGGCTCATCCAATCTCCCCGCATCCATCGAACCCTTCCTCTCGTAGCCCGAGTCCGCGACATCGTCTGAAAACGTCCCGAGTTGCGCCGCTTGAATGTCCAGCGCCCGCTCGTCTTTTTCCGGCGTCTGCGTGCCGCACTGGTGCGTGAGCGTCTCTGGCACGGGGCTCGGCTGGTTCCGCATCTGCTGTGTCGTGTGCGGCAGCTGATTCGTCTGCTGCTGATGACTGTGGTGATTGCTGTTGCTGCCGTTGCTGCCGCCGCCGCCGCCGCCACCGCCACCACTGTTCTGAACTTTGGCATTGCGCTGTTTTTTCCCGGATGGCCCCTGCGGAGCGGTATTTCCCGCAGTCCCGTACTCCGAGCCGCCACCATTCCCGCTTCTATGCGGTGGCGGCGCCATGGACGTGGACGAGCCGGAACCTGAGCTGCCCCTGGAGGCGCCAGCGCTGCCGGGGCTGCCCCTGGCACTGCCAAAGCCCGTCTGCTGCCCGCCGAGCGTGCCGCCGCGGGTCTGGTGGTTGTCGGTGCCATGCTGCTGGTGGTGGTGCTGGCTGTGGTGGTGCTGGTGCTGCCTGGATGCGGAGTTTCTCTGCGTGGCGACGCTGCTTGTGGACGGGAGCCCTCGCCCCCTTCCAGGAGCGGCGCTCTCTTGTGCCAGCATGCTGCCGAGCAACGCAACGATAGAGTGAGACAAAGAGCTCCAGACAGAGCCTACACCAGGGGAAGGGAATCTAGAATCTATGGACCACAGGCATGACACACTGCCACTTCATTTCATAAGGCCCGTAAACCACATGAGGTCGGCCACTTTTTATCGACCTATAAATTTGATTTACCCATAAGTGAAAATATTTTAGAAGCCCTAAATCGGGTAATTAAGATATTTTTTTTTAATTCTGACTGCACCGTGTTTATTTTTTTTTATATATATATCAGTCACACTCAGTCACCTTTGTCACTGCAAAGACATCTTTGGAGGAAATAAAATAGGCATTGAATTAGTGTGGTCAAGTGAGTCACGATTATTTTCGAAATGTTACTGTATAAAGCTACGGTTTTTGCAAATGTGTGGCTAGCCAAAGGTATTTGAGGACCAGTTCGGCCTTCAGCAATGCAAAAGTTCCCCTCATTCCTCTCGCCCCCTCCACCATTCCCCCCCCCCGCTCTTCACCAACCCACTGACCAGCATCTCCCCATGGCCAACGTGGTGTGGGGGAGGGCCTTCATCCAGAAGTGGATAAATTATTAATGCTTAAAAACCACGGGGACACTAAGTTAAGACGTCGTTCATGAACATAAATTTGCTTACATGTATGACTTTAACATGTTGGCTTTTCACTTTTTCACAGACAATAATATACTGTACACTTCCTAATATATTTTTTTGGTTAGGCCACCTAATCATCTGGAAAAAAAACGTGTGTTGTGAAGGCCCTCCACTACCTGACAAAGTCAAACAAACTAAAATAGCTGCAACAACAGTCGCTCGTCGATCGTGAATGTAACGCAGTTCACTCTGTTTGGCTGCTTCGTCGGGCGGCACAAATTTTGATCAGATCATTGCGCGGCCTCGCCGTCACCCCCACCCCCCACCACCCCCATTAATCAATTAACGAATGAAACAGGAACAACGGGTAAAGGCCAGAGCATATTTTTTGCGAGCGGGCGCAAGCGGCGGCGGCGGCGGCGAGGAGGCACCTGTGCTCCTGCATGAGGGAGGCGCCGATCTTGCGGAGGTCGAACGGTCGATCGGTGAGGCCCTCGCACAGGCTTTGCTCCGCCTCCGCCTGCTGCTGCTCACGGAACTGGCGCCACTGCTCCTGGGCGTCCATGAAGGCCACGACCAGCACGCACGGCAGCGTCACGCTGCACACGCGTGGACACACGCGGACGCGCGCAGACGAGACGATTGGGTCGGTCGTAGGATCTCTGCACCTGATTGGGTTAAATGATGTCACCCTGCTGCTCTATTTAAGACCGGGAGCAGGTGGAGGGCTTCACCATTCTGGAAAATTGCCCGATGATGTTGGATGTAATTACCAGCGAAACGTCGTGCTAAAAAATTGTAAACCTTGTGGATTCACTCTTCAACACACCGGTGGGCTAAAGTAGTGAACTATTTGTCTTTTGTCAACGTGACATTTTTTACTGATTGGCCGTGTCGGGTGGTGGAGGGTTGCAACACATTTATAAATATTATTTGGGTCTTTCGGTAAAGCCACGTAGATAGAAAAAATGACGTTTCGATCGCAACACAAGCAATCGTCTTCAGGTGAAAAAAAGGTTATTATTTTGATAATTTTTTCTATCTACGTGGCTTTACCGAAAGACCCAAAGAATATGAATTCCTACAGTCAACATTTATAAATAACGCGATCTAACCCAAAAAACCTTTATTATGAATAATATGCGCTTTGCTGTTTAACAAAATTTGATCATGTTCATATTTAAAGCTGTCCAACTAAAGTGGAAGGCATTTAGACATCAACTCTCTCCATCTGTCTAGTCTGTTTGTCCATCTTTACTGGGGATGAGTGCACGATAACTTACATGAAAATTATAACATTGACATTATTTACATGCTCATTGTGAAATGATGACGATTACATGAATTGTGAATGTAACAATTATTATCCTAATGATGCACATGCTGATATTCCACATCATAATTGTAGACGTAAGAAATAGTATTCCAGAAAACCTTTTTAAATAGGCATGTGATAATTTCCACCCGGCAAGTGATAATTCACACCCCAGTGATTTTATGAAGTTTAATTATTCAGGGTCAACGTTCAATTCAAGAGATATGTTCTCATTTGCACGGTCTGTTTATATTGTCTTCCATATATAGTGTGTATTTTTTTTGTTCCATCTGGTTTGTTCAATTATCCTAAAGTTTACATTTGCATATAACTTGCAAACATTGTAAATAACTTATTCTCTCTATTGTGATAGCTCGTTCGCAGACGCTTAGATGGACTACCACATCACAGAACCGTGAGAGACTGCGATGGAGAGAGAGAGAGGCCTTCATCCAACAGTGCAATTGATCACGGCCGACGCTGACAGCGTGAAGATAAGACGATAGGTGGCACCGGCTGTCGAGAATATAAATTTGCGCGCGACGGTGCCGTAGACGGCCTCGCGGGCCATCCCACGCGTGCCCTTACACGACAAGGCCCAGGACGGCGGCGTAGAGGAAGGCCTCCCAGCTCGGCCGTGGCAGGGCCTCGGCGCACGTGGCCAGCATGTGGTAAGGCAACGAGGCGTTGAGCACGAAGGTAAACTCGGAGCCGCGCACCGTTCGCAGCCGCAGCTCCCGGATGACGCGTGACGCCGTGAAGTCCGGCGTGAACCTGAATCCCCCGGGAGCACGCGCAAAGACAACGATTCGCCCACGTGGCCTTTGACGGACTGCTTTTGGGGCGAGGGATTGTTGGCGAGCACCCATTAAGGGCGGCACGGCACGCGAGGGGTCGGAACAATGCCCGGCCGCACATATAACACAAGCAGACACACGCATTAATACTCATACAGTGCTAAAAAGATAACGATCGTCAGTCTGGCCTTTAATAGGCCGTTGGGGCAACTGTGAAGGGCAGCAGGGCGCACGCCTGGCCGCGTTTGTCTCTCCAGTGCTGCTGTGTTTACACACTCCGTTAGGTACCCATTTCAGGCTGAGTCATCCTAGAGGAGGCTCAAGATTAGGTGGCTCTGGGGTCAGAGGGCTCTGGAGTCAGAGGGCTTTGGGGTCAGAGTGCTGAGCCAGCACTGGTGAGAAACAGGATTCGAATCCAAGACACCAAGCGTGATAAAACCGTACGCTGAAGGAGTATTTTATCATTGCAAGAGGCTACAGAGAAGCAGACAAAGTCACAGGAGAGAGAAATCTCTGGTTGGTAGCATGCATGTACGTTGACCTTTAGCGCCGTACGTGGTCAACCGTGCGCTAATCGGAGGCGCGAGGACAGGCAGGGGTGCGCGGCGCGACGACTCACGCGATGACGATGTCACGCGTCGCGTTGGGCTCCAGTACGAAGACGGAGCAGTCGACGACGCGGAAGCCGTAGCCCTCGCAGCGGAGGCCGCTCACCTCGGGCGCTGCCACGTGCAGCGGCAGCGGCCCCACGTTCTCCACGCGGAACGTGCGCATCAGCGTGAACGTCGGCTGCTTCGGCCGAGACTCTGCGGAGGCAGCGAAGGGGAAGCAGGGGGGGGGGGGGGGAGGGGGCGATCGAGTCAGCGCTCGTTGACGGCACCCAAAAGGCAAAAGGACTTTCTAATAATCAATTGAAACCCTCTACAGCCCTGACACAGAGGCACATCAACTAAACACCTTGCCTCTTACAGCCTTCACTCGAGCACTCACCGAATGTCAAACGGGGGGACACTGCTCGACTGAAGTCGGTCACACGCGACTCGTAAAACATCGCCATAGCGAGAGGTAATCTGGGAGCGGTGTGCCAGGTCAAAAATATTTTCTAGGTCGACAAGTGGGAGAGGGCAGGCTGAAATTAGGCCCCCGGATAAGTAATGCAGACCCCTACATCGTAGTCAGGAGACGTCATGCCACCACGTGAACCGGTTGGCACTGTCAGCAAGCCAGAATATGGGAGGTGCTGTGTGTTCTGAGTCGGCGAGTGGAGAATCAATGATTTGCCAATTAAATAACATTTTTATGCCCATAATAAAAGCATGAAATCCGGTGCAAGACTCGATTATTTGCGGCATACGTGAATCAGGTGAAAGCGTCATCTTATGGGGTGGAATCATCGAGACTAAATGAGACGAGGCATAATCTCTTCTTGACTTTGCAATTCCATTGGCAATTCCATTGTTGAATGTAATTGCAACCCTGAATCGTGAAATTTAATTCAATCTCAAGGGCGATAATCGTTATGTCACCTAGCCCTAAGTAACATCTCAGTGTTTCACACGGAGGAAAGTGCAGCAGCAATTAATATTTTATCTGCACGAAATACAAATGCGATACAAAAAAAAGCTTCCAATAAAAATGTATAAATTGGCCACGCATCCTTTGAGAATTCCTGAAAAAAAGTGCTAAAGATTTATTGAGTGAATATATCACTATGATTGAAATTGTAATAAATTAAATGATTCGTGTACAAAAAAAATATATACGTGATGCTACATTGTTCCAATATTAATAAAGACTATTTACTTTATTGAATAACTGACATATTTCTGGAATGCCAATGCCAAGTCAGATTACACTCCCACTCAGATCACATGAGAATTGAAATGTTATTTCTCCTTTTAATCAATGACAGCTTCCCAGCTCACAGGTGTTAATAATTCACTGCCGTTACAAAACGCGTTGTCATTCTGACTTTCCGCGCAAAGAGAACGGAAATATAACCACAACAAACGTACGTAGAGACGAACGAACAGACTAATTCAATGGGCAAAGGAATGAACGGACGAAGGAATGAATGAATGAAAGAACGGAGGAGGATAACACTCACTGTCAGTGCAGTCCCTGAGCACCGCCTCAGTGACCTTGAATCGGAGGGAGGCATTGGGGCCTGGGGGGCGGCCGGCGAGACGGAGTGCCTCGTTGACGCCGCGACCCGACACCACGACGCCGTCCAACACCGTCAGGTTATTCCTGCCACGTGACGCAGCATGTCGAGGACACGGCATGGTGTGGTACAGCATGGTGCAAGCTTAGAATCAGGCGGTTCCAGCACGGGACAGCATGGCACAGACTGTCAGGGTATTGCGGGGTGATGTTGCAGGATATGATGCGGCGCGGTATCACGCAGAATGTCTGGTACAGCATGGGAGAGCACAAAGTATCAGGGCATGGTATGGCCTGGGCCATATGGCCTGGGCCATACTGTGCCCCGATACTTTATGCTGTACAATTGTCAGGGTACGGCAATTTGTAGCATTGTAAAACTGGGACGGTACAGCAAAGTGTGGTAGGGCACGGTAGGGCACGGTAGGGCACGGTATGGCACGGTATGGCACGGTATGGCACGGTGACAGTGTCCCTAGCAGGGCGCGTCACGACGCGGCATGGGCACAGCGCGAGTCATTGCGAGGCATCGGCCGTGCCGGCGCGGCTCACCTGATGAGGATCAGCGTGGTCTCGGTGCGGTTGCTGGTCGGCGTGAAGCGAACGCCGATCGTGCGGCGCTCCCCGGGGCCCAGCTCCACCCGCACCAGGGGCGAACCGCCGGACGCCCCCGGCTGCACCGGCGCAATCGTGCGGTCACACGGCGAAGTTAGGCGACCACAGCGGCACGTTAACCGGGCACGCACAACCAAAAGTGACGACACTCGCGTCACCAAACCTAGGTGACGATGCAGTCGCACGCACGCCAGGGCAGCAACCGAACGCACCGAATACCCGCGCGTCACAACCAACCGTACGGTCACACGCGACCAGGTTAACAACCGGACAGCCACAGAGGCATGATAACAACCAAAACGATCAGCAGCACGAACGCGTTTCCCAACTAGATAACGGCACGGCCCCACAATCAGCGTAAGAGCCAATCGACCACACAGTGCGGCACACGACCATGGTAACAACCGGGCAATGACATTCGCGCAATTATATTAATTATAAAGCAAACAACGACGGCATCACAAGCAAGCAAAAATATCATACGGCGACAGAGCAACCACGCACGGACACACCCAGAACAGCAAGCACACGACCGAACCGCCATAAAGAAAACACCACGCAACCAGGCAAACCCACGCACAGCGGAAATGCACGCACACACACACACATCCGAGCCAAATGGCAATGCACAATCCGCATCAATACAGGCAAGCAGGAGTGCATGAAAATTAAGCTTTAAAATAATGGAAAAAAAAATCAAGCTAACGTTTAAAAGCATCTCACCTGTGTTATATCTGAAATCACTGAGAAAACTCCTGAGGTTTCATTTACGTTGTATTTTTCGAGGTTTAGCCTGCGACCGAGAAAAAAATAGTAATTCCGTTAGTGAGCAGATGGCAAGAGGAAAAGGTCACCAAAACCCTAGAGGCGTGCAACAATTCACCCCCACGAGATTCTGGATCACGATTCGTTTCAGCTTCACCGTCGTCCCAGTTTATGGGAAGGTGCCGTGGCGTCACGGTTGGCACGCTGCTCGGCTCGCAATCCAGCGGCCACCGAATCAATCTCCCGGCGCAGCAGCTGAGAAAATTGGCAGGTCTCTTAAATCCACCCCACCCGCCGCCTCTGTCCACCCAGCAGTACCGCTGGGTTACACCACAGTTAGGCGACGATCGGCAGGACGTGTGTGGTGGGGTAAAGTGTGGGTACTCTCACACCTCTTCTTGTGGAAGAGTAGGCCAAAATAACACCCTCTAGAGGGGCTCTCGAGAGCTCCGTATAATGGAGGCCCTTTCCGATAGCAGTGGCGTGGGCAATAAAAAGCAGGGTTGCACCTTTACCTTGCTACCTCCTCATCCCATCTCATTTCCATTGTTTCCCTTTCTTTGCCTGGTTTGTACAGTTTTGTTCACTCCATTAGCCGTAACACTGGTGTACAATTAGCACAACATTTGAATACACGGTGAATTACCGATTCTTACACGCGCAATTTGATACACGCATCACTGGCGCTGTGCATCGTGATGCATTGTGGCCAGCAGAGGGCAATGAAGCAAAATCCACAGGTCTCGTGGTAGTAGTAATAATGAGACAACTTATTAATAATATTGGTCGCGAAAGCCTACATGTCAAACTGACTAACCTCTATGGGGAGGATACTTTTCTTAAAACCAGAAAATTGGAGAAGCTCCGCATTAAGCGGATGAAATTGATATCTTCACTGGCGTTCCTCAAAAGGTGCAGAGATTCAAAGGTAATACCAAACGCAGTTAAAATAACACATCACATAAAGTCTTCTAATTACAATACCCCCCCCTCCGCCTCTAATCACTGCACCTGATATGAGTTAAGTGATGACGTCACCCTGCTGCTCTATATAAAACCGGGAGCAAGCGAGGGCTTTACCATTCTGGCGAATTGCCCGATGATGCTGGATGTATTTACCAGCGAAACGTCGTACTCAAACTGTAAATGTGGATTCACTCTTCAACACACCGGTGGGCTAAAGTAGTGAATTATTTGTCTTTTTTTTTCGATTTAAAGCTTTCGTGACTGCAATGATTCATCTTCTTTGGTTCTTTCGGTAAAGTCACGTAGAATGAGAATAAAATAATAAATTGATAAAATAAAATAACACAATAATATTCTCACGACGTTTCGGCCACAACACAAGCGGCCTTCATCAGGTGAAGGGAGCGAGACTGTCTGGTAGGACAGCGCTGGAGTGAGAGAGCCACGTTCAGATCACGGCTTTTAAGCTGTGTGAGAAGAACAAAGAGCCTTGACGAAGGAATTAGCATAAAATTTAGCATTGAAAAGGCTGAATGATTAGCTTGTGACTGGTCACAGAAATAGCTATGTTAAAAGTTAAAGCATACACATCCGCAGAGGCACCCATTGTTAAAAGGAATTAGCATAGAATTTAGCTATTTCAATGCTAAATTCTATGCTAATTCCTTTTAACAATGGGTGCCTCTGCGGATGTGTATGCTTTAACTTTTAACATAGCTATTTCTGTGACCAGTCACAAGCTAATCATTCAGCCTTTTCAATGCTAAATTTTATGCTAATTCCTTCGTCAAGGCTCTTTGTTCTTCTCACACAGCTTAAAAGCCGTGATCTGAACGTGGCTCTCTCACTCCAGCGCTGTCCTACCAGACAGTCTCGCTCCCTTCACCTGATGAAGGCCGCTTGTGTTGTGGCCGAAACGTCGTGAGAATATTATTGTGTTATTTTATTTTATCAATTTATTATTCTATTTGTCTTTTGTCAACGTGACACTTTTTTTTTTGCTGATTGGCCGTGTCGGGTGGTGGAGGGTTACGGCACATTTATAAATAAACGCGATCTAACCCAGTATGCCATGACACTTGCGCGGAACTGTCGGGGAGTGGGGGGGGGGGCGGTGGTGGGGTGTGGGCGTGGGGGAGGGGGTGGGTGTACCGCTCAGACAGCAGCCGTACGGCCGTGCCAGGACTTGGGTACCAGCGCACGGGGAACACCTGGCACACGACCGGCACGTCGGCCAGATTCTCTAAAATCAGCTCCTCCACCTGCGTGCACACACGACACAAGGACAGAGAGGCGCCGTTTAACCGTACGAGCTGACGGGGCAAGTGCTGGACGTGAGCGTTTATTATGGCCGGACTAATACAAAAGCGAGTGTGCGTTGTGGCCAGACCCAGGCATGTTTTGCCACCATTTGTATCCCCTGTGCTGAAGTTCACGTACCGGATCAGGTGACCAGAGAAGGTCACGTTTGCATAGCAGGGGGTGGAGCGGTGGTGCAGTGGTTAGCGCACTACAATATGAACCTGGTGAAGTACGTTTAAACAACCCCCAAGTGACCATCATGGTGTGAGATGGCCCGGTTCAGAAACCACTTGCCACCGATGTGAGTTGCGGTCAGGAATCAAACTCTTATGGATGGGTTCATGGCTTAGGGCACACAAACCCCTTGGAGCTACCGCTTTTTCGACGTAAAAGGAGACATTTATGGGGATGAGAAGCAGCGCGAGGGGTGTTTGGGCAAGGGAGGAGAGTGTTGGGGATAAGAAAGGGGGTGTGTGTAGCCCGTGGCCGGTTCTTGCATGCATTCACATGTCAATTAAAAACAGCTTGCATCCGCCAGAAACCTTTAAAACAAATAAATAGTCGTTTGGCCGATTGCCTGTGCAGTTGTCGGCTTTGCGTCTAAAGGATGACACATCCTAAAAGAAGACTAATTGCTATTATCTTGAAGATAACTCCTTAAGTTGTATACCATGAGACCATCAATCACGTGTTTCATAAAGAATTCATGAGAAAAGGATAGTTTAAAGTGACATGGGGCACATCTGGCAAAAGTATGTGGGGCTGACGGAGGAAGGGGCTGACGGAGGAAGGGACTGCCAGCGGACCACACGTCCTGGTTGAGCCTGCCAGAAATGTGTCGGCGTTACTTTCAGTCGCATCATCTTCCTTTAACAGAGAGTCTACACGGTGCGTGACGAGAGGAAGGGGGCTGCCGGGACGGGAAGGAGACTCTGCGGCGGTGACGGCGGCGGCTTCAGCGCTGCGACTCACGGAGCTGGTGTTGCGATTGGTGAGCGGGAAGGTGAGCGGCCTGCCGGACGTGTTGACGAGCGAGGGCCACGTGAGCTGTGCCACCACCCTCACCGGCACCTGCTTGTACAGGTCGGTGTCCACCTCGAAGCCCGCCTCCAGCCTGAACGCGAGCGCACGCGGGAACGCGTTCACGCGGGCATCAGCAACGTAGGCACACAACAATGGACGACAGCGGCAGCGACAACCTCCGGTCGTCGCTACGTGGCGCGCGAAGTCACCGTGCCACTTTGTGCCGGTGGCGCGCGGTGCGCTTGTCGAAGACACGCCCGCAGGAGGTCATGGGACAGGCCCGGGCGTTTTGGGTTAACCGACCGAGATGACTGGTTCATAGCGCGATTCGCTTGCACACCGTGCCACCATTCCCCATACACAACACAGAAACGCGCATGGGTAAACACGTAGGTACACAGATACAATCGCAAACACAAGGCACTGTTAAACCACCTCTTCTTCGTACCTCGCATTCCTTTCCCTCGCGAGAGACAAAAGAAAATGAACATGCTCCATTACCCAAATGCCAATGGTTCAGGGCTAGGAATCAAACCCAGGTCTCTCGGAGTGTAGTGCAGTGCACGGAACGCTATGCCACTGTTTCCAAGTGCATAAACGCACGTGAATTACTTTTATTTTTCATTGTGCATCATTACACTGAGTTTTCGGGTGGAGCGTTGGTACAGCTAACATCAGTCATATCTGAATCAGTCCCGGACCACCCCTTCACCAACCTCTGCTGACCAGCATTGTGAAGTATGGTCAAACAACCCCCAAAACTAACAGAGCACGAGGAGGCCTTCATGCAGCAGCAGCAGTTGATAGGCTGTACATCAATACATTATATGGATTTATGCGTTCAGCTGCATACAGCCGGTTAAGACGTTAAACAGGTCCTGTTTCGTGAAGAGTGTAAACATGAGCATTACAACGATGGACACTTTGGTTTTGAACATTGGCCTTAGCGAGCCATCAGGGCTTACAGAGTTATTTTTTTGGATGACGCAACCTTTTATGGTTTTTGTCAGCAGTGCACGAATGCGTCTATAAACGGTGCAACGTAACTTTAGCAGTTGGAAAGCCACAACAATAATGTTTTGATCGAAATAAATACGCCGCAGATATTATTTAATCACTAATTAACTTTTTATGTTGTGGCAAATGTTGACAAGGACGTACTGAGATTAGAAGTAGTAAAATTGTGGAGCAACTGTACAAAAGGTCCTTTAACCGTTCAGAACTCCCAGTAAATTGAAAATAAATGCAATAATAAACACATGGTTTTTAACAATGACGAACGATCATAATTAAGTTTGGCCGTGACTAATTGAGTTTCCCCGCTGAATGTCAAACTATTCCCCTGTTAAAATGTTCAACCCAAATCTAAACCAGCCACACTTCCTGTTCCCTAAAAGCCATGGCAAGCCGTACGTTTTCTAGCAATGATAGGCAACGTGTAAAACATAAAAATGAATAAAACATGACAGACATATCATACGTGCAGCACTGAGAGGTCTAACAGTTCCAACTTAAAAAGGGACTAACTGGCAACTGACATACAGACTAAGTCACAGGCCAAAACATAAGAATTAAAATAAAAAAACGTTACCCCTATGAACCCGTAATAAGATATTTTTTGCTCCAGCACCGATTATTAAGCAAACTCCTGTGCCGGTTTTAACTTTCTGAGCCTTATCAACAGGGCCGCTGCCTGTTAAAACAGCGACTAGACTACTTTCGCTCACGGCATTATGGAGTTGAGTATACTTGTAAATGGTTAGGATTCGCCCCTCCTGCTGTGCGATTCAAAGAATCTTCACACATTCTGAATGCAATTCAACTTTTGGATCGATAACTTTTGGTTTCGTTTGCGCTCCCTCATTTGTCTATTGACTTGTTTGTTCTGTTTTATCATTTTGTTTGCCTAAAGAGGGCATTTGCTAATTATTTGCATTCAATGTAACTCATTAATTACACGTGCAATTCGATGCCTGTGTAGCGACTGTGAATGTCACTGCGTGGTGCCGGGCTTGCGAGGCCACGGCGGAAAATGTGTTGTCATGTGCAGCCCAGTTACAGGGCGTAGTACCAGCCCTAGTGGGGCTTGGGTGAGCGCTGGTTAGCGCGGAGGCACCACGTACAGTGCGCGGTGCGGTCTCCCGGTGAGGGAGCGAGAGAGAGCGTCAGCCAGCCAGGGTTACGTTGGGGCACGATACGCCGGTTGACCTGCCGTCACGTGACCGGATGATATTGGAGGGGGGCCACCGATGGATGGGGGTCGCTGGGCGGTCACGTGGTATAAAGGAGCTCTCGGGAGCCTTCGGGAAAGGGCTCGAGAGATCTAGAAGCTGGGCGGGGCGAGGGGCGGAGCCAGCCCCAGCCCGGGCCGATATAACGGGGGCCCCCGTGAGGGGCTCGGGGTTTCTTCGGGTTGTTGGTGAAGTTCCACGTCGGGTTAAAGAAGCCTCTAACCACGCGGTCCAGGACCCAGCTCGTGGTCCAGACCAGGATAGCGGGACCGAGTCTAGTTCTGCCGTAGCGTGGTTAGATGGGCGTTCAACACCAGTGTAGGTTACGTGTGTTGAGTTGATGTAATAAATCGTGTTGCTCCCAAGACAACGTCTTCGACTAAGTTGGACTCACTACACCTGTATCCTACGAATACATGTTTTCGAATCCTTTTTCACAATTGTATATTGCGTTTGTGCTTTTGCATCATTTTCATGAAAAGAACCATCCATTACAAACATCTTGCAGTACATAACCCCATGTATTTGAGAACAGCTTGTGGAAATATACTTCACAGAAGCTCTTAAGAAATTACTTCAAGTGACCTTTTTTATCTGTACACAAGTGGGGGGGGGGCACTTTTCCACATGCCTGAGTACAGTGAGAAATCAATGTGGTCATAAAACCAATAATTCAGACACAGCCCTGGTTTCTGACAGATGCCTGGTTTCAGACCCAGGCCTGGTTTCAGACAAAGGCCTGGTCAAGGACGCAGGCCTGGTCAGAGGCAGACCTGGTCAAGGAGACAGGCTGGTCAATAACACAGGCCTGGTAATACCGCCCTGGTTTCAGACAAAGCCCTGGTTTCGCAGTATCGCTCTCAGAGCAATCGCGCTCACCTGTGCAGCCCTCGCTCACGCATGGACGCCCAGCGGCGTTGAAGCTCGCGGAAGAGCTTAGAGTCAGTGTCTGCCGGCTCCTTCTTCAGGTTGTCCTGCCACCGCACGCCCGCTGAAACGAGCAAACGCCCAAGGCACCTCGCGTTAAAAACGACAACTGTTGTTTACTCGCTGCTTATCCTTTGCCTGTGATCAAATCGCCCAGAATGCGCCGGATTTCATGAGAACCCAGCTAAGCAGGGTTGAGCATGGAGAGTGCTTGGACAGGCGACAACCGTGGCACAGGTGTTATAGGCTGCTGCGCAGATACATGGTAGGCAGTAGAGGGTAGCGCCGTAAAATCAAAATTTTTACTGTACTTTCTCATTTATGCTCCTTAAATTTACCAACCTGCACTGACCATTGTGGTGAAGTATGGTCGAGCAATCCTAACGACCCACAAGATGTCAGGAGACCATCATCCAGCAGTGGATTAACAAAAAGGCTGTAAACGTGTGTGTGCGCGTATGCTGATTTGTTTGTTCTGTGACTCCGCCATTAAACAATAGATGAATAAGGGGATATTTCTATGCTGTGATATTAACATAAGCACGGAAAAATGTGTGCTTTGCCACCATAAAATAACATTTAGGTGCATCAACCAATGGGCCTTTAAGCACCGATGTTTGCCAGGACAATTTATTTAAGCACGCAAGCAAGTTTTGAATATTTGAGCCTCATCAAGCAAGATACTTGGGTGCAAGGTATGAAAGTCAAAGATCAATCCACAAACACCTTTGCAGCCATATAGAGCAATGCCATTGTCATTTACAGTGGCTTACTCCTTAAAGTAAGAGGCAGCGTCGCAGACCGTTATCTTTAAAGCGATCAAAGTTTAAGAATAACAAAATATTTACGCACACTGGGACCAAAGGCTACTTTGGAGCTTGACTATGCTTCCTTGCGCCTCTGAGTTATTCTCTCTCATCGAGTGGGTAAAATACTCTGTGGCACGTTACTAGCTTAAATGTATTTTTATTAACACAACACCTTACGTCTGCACCGCAAATCTCCTTGATGAAATATATTTTTTTCGTGTAAAAGAGGCTCCTCTGGATATGAAAACAATGGGATTTACGGAAGCGTAAAAAAAAACCAAGGCCAATCTCCGTTTCAGTAAAAACGATCTCAATCCAAGCGTCATTCTCGTGTAATTTTTGTTTTCTTGCTTCCGCGGGGCAACGATAGCTGTGACTGACGCTTCCTGTGCAGCTCCCCGTAAGGAAGAGCATGATAACAAGATATTTTTTTTTATCTTTTGGGCACGACACAAAACAACACCCAGTGTTGACACCTGCCTGTGCAAAGTTAGGCACAAGAGACGTTTTGGGGGCTTTCTTCTTCCAAAAGCATCCTTTGGAAGACTAGTTTATGCGCGGGCTTCCGTGTGTAAGTTCTCCAAAGAACAATTCCCCATGACCGCCCCAATACAATCCCCCTTTCTGGTGCCCATCGCGGCCATGGCCATCGCGATGCCAGGCCATGTGACAGCCCGACCCAGCGAGCGTTCGCTTACCTCCAACGTAACAGTCCGTATCACAAGCTGCGCTTGCATTAAAATAAATATTCCCGATCTGAAACAAAGCAAAGTAACGTGCATATTATAAAACCCACTTAAAAGTTGCGTAAAATTCATGACGGCATTTGTTTGGGATGCAGTACAACGTCACATGTCTATATATATGGCCGGCACATATCCATCTTAATCCATTAACCGCTGACGCACATTGCAGCCGTGTGCAAGGTGCAACTGTCATCTTGTGAAGATGTCCACATCCCTGACCTTTTTACAGACAGCCATGTGCTCTTAAACTCACGTGCATTCGCTTCCTTCTCAAGTACAGCAAAGCACAGTCCCACGCTTAAAACAGTTTGTGCTTTCATTTTGTACAGTAACCTGTTTGTACACAGTGTCAATTTCTGTGGATATTCACAAATGTGACCTGTTGACATATCCGCCAATAACTTAAGTCCCATGCGAATCGGACACACGATATTCTACTGTACACTCACGATAACGGAGCAAAAGTGTGATGCAGTGGAGAGGACTTTATGGTTGAGAAATCCAAACGAGGTTGTGTTCAAGCCGTAGCTCAAAGCAAAATTATCTCAAAGCTGGGCGTGTAAACATTAACTCCATTTCTATGTCGTTGCATTGTGATGATTCGGGGGGTGGAAATTCGATTCTAGAATCCTTTCTCGATTTGTTTCCCTGTACTGCTTGTGTCATCTATATTGTGTCCTGCTTGCACTGTATGCCTGCTGCTACAATCATCGATAGTGCTGTGCCTACTAACTTTTGTACTCTTTCATCTCATCGATGCTACCTTGTCTGTCACTCTCTGTACTGTCCAACCTGCTCATTCTATGTTGTTCGTCGGGCCTAAAAATGCATTTAACGTGCATATGTATTTTGAGATAAATTTTATTCGGCGAATCGTTAAGATGCTTAGGTATAACAAGTGGTGGAAACGCGTCGGTATACGGCGGTTCGCCATTCCACCACTTCTGAGCACACCCAGCATGTGTACCAGAATTTTTCAGAAAGGTTCACATTGCTACACCACCACCAAGTTTCCACAGGGAGGAAACGGCAGCGAACGTGGCCTGCAGGCAGAATAAGTTGCATAACGGGACTGCATCGTTTCCATTTCAAACATTTGCCATAATGCGTAGCAGATTCTGTGCGCTGCATTGGTGTCTTCCCTGGCCAGATTAACAGCACATGGGCAGTGACGGCGGTGGCATGGGTCGACTCCTCTCTCTCCCTCCACGAGGGCTGAACTCCCTTGACACGACCGCTCTACTGAAGCAGCTCAGTAGAGACATCGCTCGCCGCTCTAAATACAGTGAGAAGCACGATAACTTCAAAAAGCTGAGCGACAGCAGTGAATACGCGGTGGAGCAAAAGTGCGAGCTACTGATTTTTTTTATCGTATAATTATTTTTAAAATAAATTATATCCCCAATTGTATCCCTATTGCTACCGTTTATTTATGGATTTTATCTCACTCCCATTTGTCATCAAACGACAAATCTCTTTGGATCTTTTCAGAGCGGACAAAATCTCCGTGTTAGAGTAAAAGGCCCACGATAAGAGGATATCACAAAGCTCTCTCTGAGAGGGCAGCACCTACTACCCCCACCCACCGACCTGCCCTGCCATTGTCATCAAAGTCACTTCAAGTTACCTGCTCAACATTTTCAGTCGAAAATAAACTAAATCCATACAGTGCCTCCCACTCTCATGCAGGTGCACCTGCAAGGAAGAGCAAATAAGAAGAAATACATGCAAGATAAAGTGCTCTTATCTTGCACACGTGTACCTAAAACCATCACCGCAACGTAAGACCAGAGCGTCGCTGCTCCAACGTAAACGAAAGGGCCAGGGGTTTCCCTTTGCAAGAGCAAAGGGAACTCGAGGCGACTCAAAACACCTCAGCCGAGCGTGTTGCCACTTGTCCCGAGAATGCGCCGCCGTCCACTTACAAACGTGCGATTGGCATCTGCAGGCTCTGCCCAGCCGTTTCCAAGAGCAACGCAAACAATAAAAAGCGGCCACGCCAAACACCCTGGCGGCCCCCCCCCCCCCCCCGCAGAATTTATTTATTTCATTAAATCGCATTGGGGACGAGGGGGATCGGGGGTGGGGGCCGGGGGCAGCGAGCGGGGAATGAGGAGGAGGGGGTCACCTTGGTCTTCTGCCCCGGCTCGAGCTCCTCCGGGCCGTCCTCGGCGCGGCGGAAGTAGAAACGGGAGTCGGTGCCGAGGGGGCGCACGGCCTCCACGCGGACGGCACGCGAGAACGAGCTCGCCACCCACACGGACTGCTGCACCACCTTGCCCTGCGCGTACGGAAACGCACGGAAATGCGCATGCACACACGTGTGCGTGCGAGCCTTTAGAAAAGCGCTTGTGCAGCCAAATTGGATCGTACAACCGGGGAGGATTGGAGTACAGCCAGGGAGAACTGTAGTACAGCTAGGGGGGTGTAGTAGTACAGCTAGAGGGGTGTAGTAGTACAGCTAGGGGGGTGTAGTAGTACAGCTAGGGGTGTAGTAGTACAGCTAGAGGGGTGTAGTAGTACAGCTAGGGGGTGTAGTAGTACAGCTAGGGGGGTGTAGTAGTACAGCTAGGGGTGTAGTAGTACAGCTAGAGGGGTGTAGTAGTACAGCTAGAGGGGTGTAGTAGTACAGCTAGAGGGGTGTAGTAGTACAGCTAGGGGTGTAGTAGCACAGCTAGAGGGGTGTAGTAGTACAGCTAGGGGGTGTAGTAGTACAGCTAGGGGGGTGTAGTAGTACAGCTAGGGGTGTAGTAGTACAGCTAGAGGGGTGTAGTAGTACAGCTAGAGGGGTGTAGTAGTACAGCTAGAGGTGTAGCAGTACAGCTAGGGGGTGTAGTAGTACAGCTAGGGGGTGTAGTAGTACAGCTAGAGGGTGTAGTAGTACAGCTAAGGGGGGGTGTAGTAGTACAGCTAGGGGTGTAGTAGTACAGCTAGGGGTGTAGTAGTACAGCTAGGGGTGTAGTAGTACAGCTAGGAGGGTGTAGTAGTACAGCTAGGGGGGTGTAGTAGTACAGCTAGGGGTGTAGTAGTACAGCTAGGAGGGTGTAGTAGTACAGCTAGGGGGGTGTAGTAGTACAGCTAGGAGGGTGTAGTAGTACAGCTAGAGGGGTGTAGTAGTACAGCTAGGGGTGTAGTAGTACAGCTAGGAGGGTGTAGTAGTACAGCTATGGGGTGTAGTAGTACAGCTAGGGGTGTAGTAGTACAGCTAGGGGGTGTAGTAGTACAGCTAGAGGGGTGTAGTAGTACAGCTAGAGGGGTGTAGTAGCACAGCTATGGGGTGTAGTAGTACAGCTAGGGGTGTAGTAGTACAGCTAGGGGGTGTAGTAGTACAGCTAGGGGGGTGTAGTAGTACAGCTAGAGGGGTGTAGTAGTACAGCTAGGGGTGTAGTAGTACAACTAGAGGGGTGTAGTAGTACAGCTAGAGAGGTGTAGTAGTACAGCTAGAGGGGTGTAGTAGTACAGCTAGGGGGTGTAGTAGTACAGCTAGAGGGGTGTAGTAGTACAGCTGGGGGGTGTAGTAGTACAGCTAGAGGGGTGTAGTAGTACAGCTAGGGGGGTGTAGTAGTACAGCTAGAGGGGTGTAGTAGTACAGCTAGAGGGGTGTAGTAGTACAGCTAGGGGGTGTAGTAGTACAGCTAGAGGGGTGTAGTAGTACAGCTAGAGGGGTGTAATAGTACAGCTAGGGGTGTAGCAGTACAGCTAGGGGAGTGTAGTAGTACAGCTAGGAGGGTGTAGTAGTACAGCTAGAGGGGTGTAGTAGTACAGCTAGAGGGGTGTAGTAGTACAGCTAGAGGTGTAGTAGTACAGCTAGGAGGGTGCAGTAGTACAGCTAGTGGTGTAGTAGTACAGCTAGAGGGGTGTAGTAGTACAGCTAGGGGTGTAGTAGTACAGCTAGGGAGGTGTAGTAGTACAGCTAGGGGGGTGTAGTAGTACAGCTAGGGGTGTAGTAGTACAGCTAGGGGGTGTAGTAGTACAGCTAGAGGGGTGTAGTAGTACAGCTAGAGGGGTGTAGTAGTACAGCTAGAGGTGTAGTAGTACAGCTAGGAGGGTGTAGTAGTACAGCTAGGGGTGTAGTAGTACAGCTAGGGGTGTAGTAGTACAGCTAGAGGGGTGTAGTAGTACAGCTAGGGGTGTAGTAGTACAGCTAGGGGTGTAGTAGTACAGCTAGGGGTGTAGTAGTACAGCTAGGGGGGGTGTAGTAGTACAGCTAGGGGGTGTAGTAGTACAGCTAGGGGTGTAGTAGTACAGCTAGGGGGGGTGTAGTAGTACAGCTGGGGTGTAGTAGTACAGCTAGGGGAGTGTAGTAGTACAGCTAGGGGTGTAGTAGTACAGCTAGCGGTGTAGTAGTACAACTAGAGGGGTGTAGTAGTACAGCTAGGGGGGTGTAGTAGTACAGCTAGGGGGTGTAGTAGTACAGCTAGAGGGGTGTAGTAGTACAGCTAGAGGGGTGTAGTAGTACAGCTAGAGGGGTGTAGTAGTACAGCTAGGGGGGTAGCAGTACAGCTAGGGGGGTGTAGTAGTACAGCTAGAGGGGTGTAGTAGTACAGCTAGAGGGGTGTAGTAGTACAGCTAGGGGGGTGTAGTAGCACAGCTAGAGGGGTGTAGTAGTACAGCTAGAGGTGTAGTAGTACAGCTAGGGGGGTGTAGTAGCACAGCTAGAGGGGTGTAGTAGTACAGCTAGAGGGGTGTAGTAGTACAGCTAGGGGGGGGTAGTAGTACAGCTAGAGGGGTGTAGTAGCACAGCTAGAGGGGTGTAGTAGTACAGCTAGAGGTGTAGTAGTACAGCTAGAGGGGTGTAGTAGTACAGCTAGAGGTGTAGTAGTACAGCTAGAGGGGTGTAGTAGTACAGCTAGAGGGGTGTAGTAGTACAGCTAGGGGTGTAGTAGTACAGCTAGAGGGGTGTAGTAGTACAGCTAGGGGTGTAGTAGTACAGCTAGAGGTGTAGTAGTACAGCTAGAGGGGTGTAGTAGTACAGCTAGAGGGGTGTAGTAGCACAGCTAGGGGGGTGTAGTAGTACAGCTAGAGGGGTGTAGTAGTACAGCTAGAGGGGTGTAGTAGTACAGCTAGGGGGGTAGCAGTACAGCTAGGGGGGTGTAGTAGTACAGCTAGAGGGGTGTAGTAGTACAGCTAGGGGGGTGTAGTAGTACAGCTAGGGGGTGTAGTAGTACAGCTAGAGGGGTGTAGTAGTACAGCTAGAGGGGTGTAGTAGTACAGCTAGAGGGGTGTAGTAGTACAGCTAGGGGGGTAGCAGTACAGCTAGGGGGGTGTAGTAGTACAGCTAGGGGGGTGTAGTAGTACAGCTAGGGGGGGGTAGTAGTACAGCTAGAGGGGTGTAGTAGCACAGCTAGAGGGGTGTAGTAATACAGCTAGGGGTGTAGTAGTACAGCTAGAGGGGTGTAGTAGTACAGCTAGGGGTGTAGTAGTACAGCTAGAGGTGTAGTAGTACAGCTAGAGGGGTGTAGTAGCACAGCTAGGGGGGTGTAGTAGTACAGCTAGAGGGGTGTAGTAGTACAGCTAGAGGGGTGTAGTAGTACAACTAGGAGGGTGTAGTAGTACAGCTAGAGGGGTGTAGCAGTACAGCTAGGGGGGTAGCAGTACAGCTAGGGGGGTGTAGTAGTACAGCTAGGGGTGTAGTAGTACAGCTAGGGGGGTGTAGTAGTACAGCTAGGAGGGTGTAGTAGTACAGCTAGAGGGGTGTAGTAGTACAGCTAGGGGTGTAGTAGTACAGCTAGGAGGGTGTAGTAGTACAGCTAGGGGGGTGTAGTAGTACAGCTAGAGGGGTGTAGTAGTACAGCTAGGGGGGTGTAGTAGTACAGCTAGAGGGGTGTAGTAGTACAGCTAGAGGGGTGTAGTAGTACAGCTAGGAGGGTGTAGTAGTACAGCTAGGGGGGTGTAGTAGTACAGCTAGAGGGGTGTAGTAGTACAGCTAGAGGGGTGTAGTAGTACAGCTAGAGGGGTGTAGTAGTACAGCTAGAGGGGTGTAGTAGTACAGCTAGGGGGGTGTAGTAGTACAGCTAGAGGGGTGTAGTAGTACAGCTAGGGGGGTGTAGTAGTACAGCTAGAGGGGTGTAGTAGTACAGCTAGAGGGGTGTAGTAGTACAGCTAGAGGGGTGTAGTAGTACAGCTAGAGGGGTGTAGTAGTACAGCTAGAGGGGTGTAGTAGTACAGCTAGGGGGGTAGCAGTACAGCTAGGGGGGTGTAGTAGTACAGCTAGAGGGGTGTAGTAGTACAGCTAGAGGGGTGTAGTAGTACAGCTAGGGGGGTGTAGTAGTACAGCTAGGGGGGTGTAGTAGTACAGCTAGGGGGTGCAGTAGTACAGCTAGAGGGGTGTAGTAGTACAGCTAGGGGGTGTAGTAGTACAGCTAGAGGGGTGTAGTAGTACAGCTAGGGGGTGTAGTAGTACAGCTAGAGGAGTGTAGTAGTACAGCTAGGGGGTGCAGTAGTACAGCTACAGGGGTGTAGTAGTACAGCTAGAGGGGTGTAGTAGTACAGCTAGAGGGGTGTAGTAGTACAGCTAGGGGGGTGTAGTAGTACAGCTAGAGGGGTGTAGTAGTACAGCTAGGGGGTGTAGTAGTACAGCTAGGGGAGTGTAGTAGTACAGCTAGGGGGTGCAGTAGTACAGCTAGGGGAGTGTAGTCGTACTCCTAGGGGGGCGGTGTAAGTACAGCTGGGGGGGTTTATAGAGCCATAACGGCTTTTGGACCCCCGTTGTACGGAGCAGGAGCTGGTGTCAGAGGATTGGCGTGTCACTCTTTAAACCCATTGCAATTCGACGAGTTGCTACGATTCGGGGTGACAATTCAATTTAAGGTTGAAACCGGTCCAGAAGCTGCCTGGATAACATTGGTGCAGGGTCCAGAAAACCCATGAGCGGGTAAATGACAAATACATTTTTACGAGGAGATATGAACTTCCTGTCTGTTCAATATTCATCCAAGATGACTTGCTCTCTGAAATGTATCCACGCATTACGCTCGACACTCCACCAAAGCACACAATGATATTTATATCTTGCGATTTTAAATACTCACCGTCGCTGCGTTACAGTGCAAGGGCAGAACATTTCACCTTGAGATGAGTCACTCTATTTAATCCTAAAGTGTTATTGCGTGAAAGCTGAATGACATGCAAATTAACCAATTAGTTGATTGCTTCATTATTTGTTCCGCCTTATTTACGCATTCCTCACCGGGAATGAGGCTTGCAGATGCACGTGGGAGGGGAGGCTGCTGAGCGAGCCCACAGCAATGACTGCCATGACGGGGATCGTCAAAATCTGCAAGCGAGACAACGCAGCAAGATCCGGGCAGATGAACATTTAAAACATACTTATTCCTCGACAAATATAACCCTGTGTGTGCCGTTTGGCATCACGTCATTAGAGAAAAATAAATCCACTGAGAACTGCTGCAGAACAATGCAAACCCTTCATGTTAAGAAAAAATGGCCCACTGAAACGAACATCACAAACTGCTTCTGAGATCCCTCCAAGTAACCACTGGCCCACATACTAAGGGGCAGCGATTTCCCCTCCATCCTGCTGGAGGATAATGGTTTTCATGACAATCAAACCGATATTCTTATTCTCAGAACTGGCTTTTAACCAAATATAATGTGTTTTTTTTTGTGCACACATCGGTGACCATCAACTTGAGGAATGCAGTTCGTTCACAGGCCGCTGCCTGGATTCGAACCCATAACGTCAGTGATGGCAAACTCATCGTTCCAAACTCTGAGCAACCTGGCCAACCGAGCTGTAACACTCTGCCATTACCATTAACACCACCCATCACGATTGATCCAGCTGGCCTGGTCACAGTACTCGACATGTAAGCGTAGCTCATATCCTAGGTCGAGGGGTCAACTTGGCTCATCATCCCTCCGTTTGGTACAGACTCGCCCAAATGTCAGCGGTTTCCCACCAAAATCGGTGGGTAGCGCTGCTCGTTCTATGTTCACAGCCCGAAGCCACTGGCAGAAATTCCACATCCCCCGTGAAAATGATGAATGGCTTCTTTTAAATCTAGATTTAAAACTAACTTCTTAAAAACTGCTTTTTGTGTTTAGTTTGGTGTCCTTCCCCCTCACCTCCGATTATTGCGGTTGGCTACGTACAGTGCGAAATAAATTCAACGTACATATATACAATTGACCGTGATAAGGAATTTATCATATGCTCATGTTTGGGATTCTTGCTGGTTTAGGAAGAAAGATACATCTAAGCCAAAGGGAAAAGCATCACTATAACTGCTTTTCACTGTCATGGAAGAAATGCTGAAAAGTTGCACAGAGAAAGATGAAAAGACACTTGAAATTACATTGAGAGACAGAAGAAAATATTGATGAGGGAGAAAATGCAGATTTAAGAGATCACATCAGCTTCTTTGGTTCTTTCGGTAAAGTCACGTAGAATGAGAATAAAATAATAAAATAAGACAATAAAATTCTCACGACGTTTCGGCCACAACACAAGTAGCCCTCTTCAGGTGAAGTAACAAAACTGTCGGGACGACAGAGCTCCAATGGAGCTCTGTCGTCCCGACAATGCAGCTCTGTCATCCCGACAGTTTTGTTACTTCACCTGAAGAGGGCTACTTATCACATCAGCTGTTAATATAACTAAACTGGCTGGAGAAGGAAGCGTCGCTAAAAGAATGGAATGGCAGCCAACATTATGAAAACGTCCCAGAGTCCGTCCGTCGCGGAGAGAGGACGCAATGGAATGATCTCGTGTGCAGCTACTACGTGGAATTTTACGTCGCTGGACCGTCACAGACGGCGACAGCTTGGGGAGCCCTTCATCCAGCTGCAGATTAATCACGGCTGATAATGATGACGAATTGGGTTGCCAGCATTTAAATCCCTTCAAGAGTATACACTGGCTGCGTCTTGTGGGATCGCGAAAACGGGCGTGCCGGTGACCGGTCGTGACGCTCGCTTCGTACGCGGTGGAGACGCTCGCCTCAGTTTAACACGTAGGTGGCTTTCGTGACCAGTATTATTCATAATAAAGGTTTTTGGGTTAGATCGCGTTATTTATAAATGTGTCGCAACACCTCTACCATCCGACAAGGCCAATCAGTAAAAAATGTGTCACGTTGACAAAAGACAAATAGTTCACTACTTTAGCCCACCGGTGTGTTAACGAGTGGATCCACAACAGAATTCTGGAAAATCGCCCGAAGATGCTGGATGTAATTTCCAGCAAAAACGTCGTACTCAAATTGTAAATGTTGTGGATCCACTCTTCAACACACCGGTGGGCTAAAGTAGTGAACTATTTGTCTAATGTCAACGTGACACTTTTTTTACGCTTACCTCGTACGCGGTGGAGACCTGCAGCGCTCCCTCCACCGTTCCCTCCCGACCCGCGCCGCTCAGCGTCACCCTCAGCGCCGCGTAGTGGCCCGGCGGCAGCGTGACCTGCAAGGCGCGTGGACGTTCAGCCATGGCGATCGCCAGACACACAGCCACGACGGCCGGCTCACTACCGTTCGATGATTGTATGTAAGTTGAACTTCTTTCACACCGTACGTAGCCAACCGTACTAATCGGAGGTGCGGACGAACCCGGGGCACTCTGCCGAGGAGTGGCATGGTCCGATGCCTCGTGGGGGGCAGGTTTAAAACAAATGAGATAGGTGGTAACACAGTCAATCCTTTTATTTATTCCTAGATAGGTACGTGTGGTAGTCTGGCTGAGAAGTAATGTACCAGTGTAATTTACTTGGCGATTACTAATGAAGGTGATAGTGTTGACATCGATGACGGATGACGATTACTCATGAAAATTTTTGAAGATGTCAATGATGACAATGCAAAACGGTGGTGACGGTCGATAACGATAAATTATGATATGATGGCAATGGTGATAACGATGACGGACCACGATGGCGACAGCGGAAAACTGAAATGACAGCAACAATCACAACAACGATCGTGACAATCACGCTTCACTTTCGCAAAACCAAACTTGGCCTGGTCTAGGAAGAGGAGGGTCGGGGGAGTAGAGGGGAAGCAGTGCAGGGGGAGGGCAGGGAAGGGGGAAGGGGGAGTCAGCCATACCGGTCTCTGGTGTGGCTCGGGCTGCCGGTTCTCGAGGTCTGGTGCGGCCTGCGCTGTGGTGCGGTTGCCACGCTCCACCCCGAGCAGCTCGGCAGTCAGGCCCTCCCCGATCACCTGCCAGCCCTTCAGCTCCAGCTGAACACAAAGACAAAGATCCCCCGTGAAGTCCCACGAGAGTGTGCTGTTAGCAAGCACCTATGAAAAAGAGCTGTACAGCTCCAATGGGTTATATTTACTCGGGGTAATACACTTTTGATTCTGAAGGCCGGTACGGTGCACAAGCGGGTGGTGTAACCAGCAACAAGTCTGGCTGCCTTTGTCTTCTCAATGCCAATGTGTGTACACTGCACCAAGTAGGAATTTTTAAGGCCGATTTGACCCAGGGAAGGCTCAAAACCCAGTTCAAACATTCGCAGCTGATGTTAGCGATGGCCAGGAATCGAACTCGGGTGACCAGATTTGTAGTGCAGTGCCTTAACCACTACAATACCACTTCCCCACTGCGCACACACAATAATTCATGGCACTGCCCTGAAATTGCAACTGGTCATTTAATTACTTCGGCTATATTAACGGTGTGGTATAATTCCTTGTGAATCAACGATGATTGCCAGAATGTTTTTTTTACTGCGGATGTTAACGACATGATTGTGTATCAAGGACAAAGCCTTTTGAACAAACACATGACATTAAATGCGTCTTAGGTGTGGCAGACAGCTGTAGGCGCATGTATCAACTGACATCGATGAGCGCTCTGGTTTGGAATTTGTCGAAGGTTGTGTACTAACACGAACACACCATTAATATATTTTCTCCACTTCTCGCTTGCGTGAGATTTGTCTCAGACGGCTCTTAATGATAAGAGTAAAAATTTACTGCCCTTCGTTAATCCACTGCTAGGTGAAGGGGGCTTCCCCCACGTCGTGTTCGGGAGTTCTTTCACCATACTTCATCACCGCCGGTCAGTGCGGGTTGGTCAAGTTGACGCACGGTGGAGGGCAGGAACGGTTCGGATATATCACTGGCCAATGACGTTAGCCATGGTGAGGCAATGAACCCAGGTCACTGGGTACAAAACGAAGTGGGGTGGGGTGTGCCTTCATACCGTAATGGATTGCCAAAGCACAGGAACATTTATGTACTTATTATTGTAAATAATACAAAATAGATATTAATATTTACGGGCAAGTTACACCAACAGCGGCCGTGAAGATGAACAAAATACGTTTTGCAAAAGAGTAAAATCTTACGAAACTTCAATGCAGAAATTATTTGAACACACGCGGTCATTTCCCCTTATTTCGGAAGAGGCAAAAAGACATCCTGTAATATACCAAATGCCTATGTTGGTTTAGTTTGACTGCTGGGGAAAGTGCTGTTATGGAGAGACCATGGAAATTTGGTACACTTACAACCACTTGACGTGATGTGGCTTAACGAGGGCCAATCACAATCGCAGGGCTCTATTAGCAGCCGCCATTCACTGTCAGAGAAGTTTATTAACAAATGGCACCGGGTTCCTACCCCCTCACTGCCATTGAAGGAATTCAACGTCGGGCAGCAGCCACAGGGCGATCGGAAGATTCACGCCAAAGGCAAAGATGCCCCCCGTTTCGCCTGAACAGAGTTTAGGGGGGGCAAGTGCTGTTAGTGAGCAGCACCTACGACGGTTTCCTCGGGCCACTTTCTCACCAGCGATCGGTCGCCTAGTTGCCACTCGTCTATCGCTACTGCCACGGTTGCCGTTGAGGTGAACTTCACGAACCGAGTCATCCACGTGACTTTTGTTTTGCTGGTGAGGGACAATGACAGCCTGCAGAGGCCCTCATCCAGCAGTGGATAGATCAAGGCTGACGATGGTGACACGCAATCGTGGCCAACTCAGAGCACACTGATAAATTACTGTCTTCCGCTATACCGGCAAAACCATGTAATTTTTAGATGTGTGTATCTATGCGCGCTTGTGTATATTTAGAGAAAAACAATGACTTATATTTCCGGTGATGTATTCCTTCATAGAGAGGGTTTGGGTTGCTTTAATACAAGCAAAAAATCTAATGCTATGAACGTTGCTAATACAGACATTGTGAAGGTGAAAACTGGCCACTTGGGCAGACAACAGTGAGAGTGAATGACAGTTTGATAAGATAATATCCAGTTTATGCACACAAGATTTCCACATACTACAACCACGAACGCAGTGGCACAACGGCAAGCACTCGGCACTGCGAGTTTGATTCTCAGCCACGGCTAACATCAGTGGCGATCGATATCTGAACCCGCCTTCGGCACACACCCACCACCAACTTCACAAACCCGCACAGACCAGTGTGGTTAAGGGTTGTCAAATGACCCCCGTGACCAACACAGTGTGACAGTGCTGTAAAGTATTTTGTTATAACTATTATTTGCACTCAAAAAATGGGAATGCCACCATGGTGTGATGGTTAGCACTCTGGGCTCGCAATCCAGAGGTTGCTGGTTCGATCTCCCGGCATGGCAGTTGAGAAAATGGGCAACTTTCTTAATTTCCCCTGCCTCTGTCCACCCAGCAGTATCAATGAGTACACTACAGTTAGTCCATCTGTAGGTCAAGTATGGTGGGGGTAAAGCGTGGCTACTCCCACCTCGTCCACGATTTCAGTGTGGCAGAGTAGGCCAAATTTCTAGCGGAGGTCATTCCGCCAGCAATGGCGTAAGCAAGAAATTGCAAGGCTGCACGCACCGTCACCCTTCAAAAAGCTACAGCAACCTATGACGATGTTGACTCTTGTGTACCATGGCATTGACTACAAACAACCTGGAGGTGGGGCACACACCACACCCGATCACCTTTGTCCTCATCGCTGGCTGGTGTTGAAACACCCTGTCCCCGGTGATTATATTTATACAAGTGAGTCAGCCCAGGGATGGCCTCATTGAACTATGCACAGAGGTCACCAAAGTTGCCTCAATATAAAATAAGCCTATGACTCAGTAGAAAGGCAATTGAAATAAATTATGGTGGCATTGCTTTCAATAAATATACGTTTCATCAGTTTAACCATCGTATGACAAACATGACAAAGCTATTGACATTTGCCAAGCTATACGCATATGGTTTCCAGAGGCAGACTTTGCAAGAGTGGAAGAGGAGGCCAAATATCTTCAGTTGTCTACCAATGCATCACATTGATTGTGATGGTGATCTATGACAAGAGGACCACAATGCACATTTTCGGGAAATGATGATTTTTTTTTCACAACGCTCAGAGGCTGCGCGATTTGTACACATGTTTTCGTGTGCTTTTAAACGTACGCTTTTCAAGCCTGCACTATTATGCCGTTATGATGGATTTTTTTTTAATCACCGACAGATTTGTGTAAGGATAATAAACTTAGTTATACAAAGGGCCTTTCAAAATCTAAATCTCAAAACGCTATACTTTCGAGGTAAACCAATATATACTTCATGTAAAAATATGAAATACTGACACCAGTAAGAACCCAATCAGAATAGAATAAAACCAGACGTAAAAAAACTAAATATAAACACATATAAACGATTATCGGTGGAACCCAGGGAAAGCTATGATAAAAGTTGGTTAAAATTGCCATGTTAATCCAATCAAGTGGCAAGATGAGCCGTTGAATGAAAACACACTGAGGGAGAGGACGCGGGCGCGCACACCCCCTGGCCGAGTAGGTGAGCAGGTGGGGTGAGGCTCAGCAGGTGGGGTGAGCCGCAGCAGGTGGGGTGAAGCTCAGCAGGTGGGGTGAGGCTCAGCAGGTGGAGTGAGGCTCAGCAGGTGGGGTGAAGCTCAGCAGATGGGGTGAGGCTCAGCAGGTGGGGTGAGGCTCAGCAGGTGGGGTGAGGCTCAGCAGGTGGGGTGAAGCTCACCTCTATGGGGTTGCTGTTGAGGATGAGCACGGTGGCTCGCACCGTGTCGGCCGCCCCCAGCACCCCGAACTCCAGCTGGCTCTCCTGCAGGCTCGGGGGCAGCACCACATGCTGGGGGGGGGGGAAAGATCATCATCAAAATAAAGCATGGTAAACAATCATTATTAATCAATAACTATTTATATTTTACCAGGTCAGGCCCCACTGAGCGAAAGAGCTCTTTTTCAGAAGAGACCTGGCCATCACAAATGATAGCTCAACCAAGTGACTTATCATCATGTGGAAATGTACAGCAGCCAAATATTTTGAAAACGCATGTGGTTAATTTTAAATGTGGAGGGAGAAACCAGAGTACCTGGCAACGAATCCACGCGACCACGGGGAGAGAGAACTTGCAAACTCCAAATATACAGGCGTCAGGGTCGGGATCGAACCCATGACCCTCCAGTATACCAAACGAGGTAGTGAACATCTCACCACTGTTATTGTCACCATTACCATTATTAGCGATCACATCACCATCTCCAATCATTATCAATCATAATTGTCAGCACGAGTTATACTTTTAAGTGCAGGAAGAAATGAGCAATGCACGATTCATAATTAGTTCACGGAGAGTCCTGAAACGTGTCCAATCAAAACGCACACTCCAAAATACGCAAAGATTTTTCGCGTGACCACCCTCGTAACGAATCAAACATCCGAGGGACACTCCACTTTCATCTCGCACGAAGCCAAACAATAATTAATGGAGATGGCACCAAACATCTAAAAACACAAGTCCTTGTTTAAAACGAGTCTTTTGATTAAGTGAGGATTTCTTGAAAAGTAATGGGCATTGCTGATGTTATTATTATTATCGAGTGCAGCGGTGAGGCAAGAGGTCATGCTGCAATGCACACTGAACCCGGACACCCTATTTAGATTCCAATGCAAGACCTGAAGAATAACCTTGAAACCTCCGTGATGTTTTCCTGGGCAAAACACCGCTGGCATTGCTATTCTTAATACAGATAGTCCCCGAGCTACGATGGTCCGACTTACGATATTTCGATCTTACGATGGCGATACGACAAAATTGTAAAATATTTTACATTTTGCGCGGCAGGCGAACGCAGCAGCGTACGATACGTTCAATGCGTGTATGATACGTAGCTTTAGCGATTTCATTTTAGGGTTACCACGATACGATACGTTCAATGCATGTTAAAAGTTTTTTTAGCAGATAGGATTGTTTCCTGAAAAAACGTTCTATTAAATTGCAGTTCATATAGGTAGGCTAAGAATTTACCTTTATTTTTACTTTACATTTTACTGTGCAATACAGTATTGTAATAAATACATACAGTATATAGTCTATACAGTACGGTACTGTGAATTGCTCTGTTTTGCTAAATTATCACCGTTCTTTAAGACTCCTGGGTAGGCTAGGGCCATCTTCGACTTACGATATTTTTGACTTACGATGGGGTCGTCGTAACGCATCTCCATCGCAAGTGGAGGACTACCCTGCATTACAAAAAAATGTACGTGTTCACAATCATTAATTCGCCCCACTGTCCCCTTACGCTGAGGAAGCCTGTGTAGGCCTGCACGGGCAGCTGGAAGTGCGAGGCATTGGTCGCGAGCACGACGTTAGTGGCGAGCCCGGCGGGGACTGCGCCCAGAGGGTCGAGCGGCGCCGGCGTGAACGCAAGCGAGAAGGCGTAGCAGCTCTCCTGGGGTCGTAGCAGCACCGCCCGGCTGAAATTCTTCACCTGGGGGTGACGACGACCGGTGAGAAAACCACAACTCAACGGCAAGTGTGTTGTTGTTGTTCTTTCACACGCAAACTGTCAACGTTCACTGCTCACTCCCCCCCCCCCCACTCCGACCCCCGGCGGATTCGGTGAGCTGTCACTATAAGAATCGCGATCCGATTCGAGAGACGGTTCTATTTTGTTGATCCTGGTAACGTGCGTGCACGACGAAGAGCGAGAAACACACGAGTGCAAGTCGTGCAGAAGCCGTGCATTAAAACTAGACGTGCGTAATGATCACCCCCCCCTCCACCACCACCACCATCTCACTAAGCAAACGATTTGAGGAATTGTCACGAGTCAGCATTAACATTCGAGCTAAGAATAGATAAATGTTTCATCCCAATTTATCATCGCCTTTGTTTCTGTATATTTTTTTCTGTCTCGTTTGCACAGTTTTGTGTAACAAACTTGTACTAAGTGCATAACAAATTGTCTCAACGGCAACAAACTAATTCTCACACGTACAATTTGACGCATTTATTGTCAATGCAAGAATCGATTTAAATTGACAAAACAATGCCAATAATTTAAATAACATTTTTGTTTGGCCATTTCTGAACGCTCGGGCCCAGAAAATCCACACAACGCCACCCCCCCCCCCCCGCTCCCCCCGTCATCTTCGGGGCTGGGTAACGGCGTAGGTATTCGTGCGAGCAAGGAGCGTGCCTGCAGCATGTGCAGAACGTCGGCAGGCAGCGACACATTGTGCAGGATGATGGAGAAGTTGAAGGTGTTTGTGAGCCACACGGGCCGCTCCGACGGCTCCATCTCACCCTCCCTCACGTGGAACAGAGTGGCCGCCTGGTCGTAGCCCAGGTACCTGCGTTCAAAAACAAAGATCCCCCGCAAAAACCTTAACGGACTGTTGGGGGACGAGTGCTGTTGGCGAGCGCCTATGAAGGCCGGCATGGTACACGCGAGGGGGTGGGTCGCCGGCACCACGCCCGGCCGCCTTTGTCTCCCTCGCGGCAAAGTTCACACACCGGACGAGGTACTCATTTTGAAGCCGAGTCGACCTCGCGTGGCCCAGGACCATTTCAGATAATCGCCAATCGTGTTGGCCGTGAGCGGGAATCAAACTCGGGTCGCTGGGTTTGTAGCGCAGCGGCGCTAAACGCTTCACTACCGCTCCCCACGCACGCGAATGCACACACACACACACATCTCCACAGAAATCTCACAAGTCAAAACCCAAAAGAAAAGCCTGTCCCCTCGGTCCTTATGAGCCACCCCTCTCATTCTCATTCATAAATACGAACGAATGTTTTTTTTGTTATTTGCAATGTTGTCTTTTGTGCTGTGAGGCTGCCCGGCTTCCAGGCAAACTTCAGAGCAAACTCCATGAGGCAAGTTTTGTGTGATAGCAATTAAACCATTTGAATGACTCAGCACAAATATACAACTGAGTCACAATTAGTTTACCAACAGCTGGGCTGCCTTGCACGTTGCGTTTAACATGTCTGACCACAATGTACATTGTACAGTCCTGTAACCCACACGATCCCCTGTGAATGTTCCGAACATTCGTTTCCAGACACATAAATTGAATACCATCAGAACTAGTAACACGATGACGTTTCATCATAAGCAGATGCCATTCTTACCCTTCTAGCACCTCTGCTTGATAAACTATTTCCAGCTTTGGGTACGATTTTTCTTTTGCTTTCACGACAATTTTTCCCGATGACTGCAGTGGCCTCTTGACCTTTGAGGCTGTTCCGGAAGAGGCGAGGGGACATTGGAGGGGCGGGGAGGAGGAGAGAAACAAAGTTAATTCCCACGATTACATTCCTTTGGATAAAACATCAAAACAACAAATTAATATCATCACCAGCTTACATAATGTCCAGGGTCAACTCAACACTAACGAAACTTCTACTTGAAAAATTTCATTAAACTATTTCAATCTCATCAGATCTGGATAGTGCCTTGAGGGACAAACCTCCACGTTTAAAAAAACAGCCATTTTAGTCTGCCGCGGGGGCTGCAATGTCAACAGAGGACAATGAAACAAAATCCATCACTGTACTCTGCTATGCTCCAGAATCTATGATTGCTCCTTTCAGGAACCTGCACTGACCAGCATAGTGAAATATGGTCAAATAACCCCCCATGTGCTGCTACATGGCATGGGGTAGGCCCTCATCCAGCAGTGGATTTACAAAATGGGGCTGTTACGTGGTTTGAGTCATCTGCACACATGCCCTGCCCGTTTAACCCGTTGCTTCGTTGGCAAACCTAACCTAGGCGAGATTCTCTCAATCCTAAATATAGACACAAGCCCGACCCAGCTGGGTCACCGGGCACTAAATTCTTACAATGATGAGTGACGAGCTCCGAGACGAGATGCAGCTCTGCCAATCAGAGAGCCTCGTGCTCCCTTTATCGGAGCTCATCTTGAATGCTAACGAGCCAACCCCTACCGATTGCATGCTTGTCAACAGCAAGAGCAGCCAAGGTAGTTAAAGGACTGGATACACATTAACACGCCCTTGCGACTTCACGCAACGCAGACGGAGCCACAATCTTGTGATGTTCATGCAATCGGTGGGAAATGAGCCAACCCGGTTTTGCTAGCAGGCTCGACTTAGAGTCCCACAGTGGCATTGCCTAGCAAAGCTGGCACTAGCGGGGCCACGTAGCTCACTTTTAATGGGGCCAAGTGGCTCCCTTTTGGAAGGGAGCTGCACGCTTTCCACGTGAGCTGTCCTCGTAAATTGTCCTCAGGGCACGGGGTCAAATTCAAGCGAGACGCGCCGTCAATGAAGTCGCTTGCATAGGCCAGAACAAAAACATATATTTTATTTTGGTAGAGTGTAACCTAAGATAATTAAATGTAAAACCTTATTGTTATATTTTTTTAAACTCCGATCACTTCCGAGTCCATGGCGTGGCATGGCATAAACAGCATCAGGATAAAACACAAGCCACACTAGGCCGTACTTGGAATGGTGCAGGCTGGCTCGAGTCTTTTTCAATGGACGCGGAAACACAGTAATACGTGGAGACCAGAAGACTTGCAATGGAATAACTGGGTTGGCTTGTGTTCAGTGTGGAGTTCAGTTTTTACATAAGCAATTTATGTAGGTATTTGTTTATTTACTTGGTGCTTTGACTTACGATCGTATGTAACACTAGCCACTTTTGCGTATTTTCTTTCTTGCGCTTTCAGCGTTATGGGCTTGAATTCCACGGACACCGCGTCATTGGGTGGTGATAATTTAACGCTCTGCGCAACAGCAACAACAAATAGAAGTGAAGTTAACTGCAATAGCAGCGTTTGGGAGAACATGACAGGCTGATCGTGGCACGACATGTCGCCCCCAAATACGAAACAACTTTGCTCGGCACGATGTCCTCCCACCGCATAGCTAAAACGGCGAAACATCATGCCAAACAACAAACGGAACAGCGCAAAAGCACGTTGGAAAGCCATAACAAAACATTACAAGTGAACAATGTGTGCAAAGCGCAAAAAAAAACCTGAAAAAGCAAATTACTCACTGTGATTGGTACGTCTTTACTTCCCGAATTTAATAAATACAAATTTAATGTTTTTGGAGTATCTGCAGAAGGATAGAAACGGTACGTCAGTTTTTGTGTTGTGTTTTTTTACACTTTGAAATCAAATAAATTCAAAAAACAGTCAAATTTTTTTTATTTGAAGCGTAATTTTGCTTCTTATTATTTTAAAACGATGAAAAGTAATGACATCTGGAGTGGGCCTAACTGTGAATACCAATGTATACTTTCATCTTACCTTGTGTTCTTAATGTACCAAAATCTAACATCTCTATTGATGAATATATTCCTGGCACTGGAAAGAAAAAAGACAAAAATATACATGAGCAAGTCTTAATACGTGTTGATTATACAGCAACATTACTGTAAACGTTAAATTCAGGAAATATAACTATTGGGAATATATATAAATCGTATAACAATTGAGAAGCTTCAAGAAAAATGGTTCCACTACAAAGACAGATTCCCCGCATAGCCTAAACAAGTGCTATAAGCAAGCACCTATGAAGACCGGCACGGTGCACAAGGGATTGGTGCGACCAGAACCATGCCTAACAGCCTGTCACCCCCAGTGCTGATGTTTACACACCACAGCAGGTACTCATGAGGCTAAGTCAATCTAAGGGAGACCAAGGACTATTTCGGATATACTCCACCGATGATGGCCGTCAATTAAACTGGGCCCGCCGGGTTCGTAGGACAGTGTGCTAACCACTGCGCCACCGCTCTCCGCGTGGTTGCACCACACCGACACAAGAATATACGCGCTTGTGCACTATAAACTGCTTCCCCATGGAGTTTAGGATCTGTTTATGAAAGTTTTCGGCCAAACCTTTAGGCGTTGCTGCTTATTCTGTCTTTAATCCAACAAAATTGTTTTTTAGGAGCATTCCCTAATTTGGTATGCGTCACTGGTTTATGCGGCACGTCGTTTGTTTGGAACATAACGCAACCGTGCACGTGTTTCTCACGACCGCGTAAGGTTGTCACGGTTGTGCTGCACCACGCTGTGGTGTGTTTTTGGAGTTGCGAGGCCCGTAAACACACACCGGAGAGCGACGTGTCTGACGGTTACGACGCTGCGGTGAAATGCGCGCATCGATCACAAAGCTGATGGCAGCGTTGGTGGCGATGGAAGTAAAACTGCGCTCGTGACTCTTTTCGGATGTGTTCAGCCTCGCAACAATCCAACGGTGAAGCCATGAGACCACCAGCATCGGCATCCTCCAGCTGCCTGCAACTCTTGCACCGCACCCTTGACCCAGTTATTACATTCTCTAGCTGTCCAATCCCCGCCCTACGTCCCCTCGCTCCCTGCCTTAATAGCCCCAAACCCCCATTCCTCCCTCCCCCCCCCATGGTCCTGACCTGTGGTGACCTCCACCTCCACAGGCAGGATGAGGTACTGGTGCGGCTCGCTGCCGTTGGTGCGGATTCGGATGAACGCCGTGTGGTTGTCGGCCTCGCGTGACACGAAGCTCGCCCGCATCACCGCTTTGGTTTCGAACGGCGGGATCTCCTGCGCAAGGCACGCGGAGAGACAGACGAGACGCACACACGGCCGGTGAAGTGTGGGGAATCGTGTCCGGACGAGGGAGAGAGGGATTCTAAACTCGACGATGCGTTTTGGGGTTGAACCACGTGTTGTTTGGCACGATGTCGGTGGTTTCGCTCCACATGCTGGGAATCATCTTCAGTAACTCAAATGCGCAGCTCACTTTCTCCCTCGATTATAGAGCATTGTTAGCTGCTGCTGGATTCGCCGGTTCTTAATGCTGATTGGCTTAGCTCTCCGACAAAGACCGGCCCGTGTTCGTTTAGCTTCGTCTGGGATAGGACTACTCTCTAAAAGTACCATCACTGTCCCATGAATGTCCGCCGAGCAGACGGGTTCACGAACCCATTTGCTGGGATGGTCGCCACCTCGCAGGCGAGCGAGTTCGTCAGAGTGAGAGAGAGAGAGAGAGACGCTCAGAGGACAGGCATTGCAGATGGAAGAGTGAAAGGCTCAGGTTGAAGGGGTTGACTGAAGGAAGATAATTGGATGTTTGATGAGCCCCAGTACAGCACTCTTGATTTATGACGGCTATATAAATAAAACTACATTTTATGGACAATAATATTCATTTTAATGAGTGTAGGAAAGAGTAGTGGGAGGGCAGTGGGAGGGAAGTGTGGAACTGACAGCTGAAAGGGAATCATTAAATTACAGTGACGGGCGTAAATAATTTACATCTCTCTTTCAAACGGGCCGATCAGTCCAATTTAATCAATGGACCACCTCCAAGGAACACACTATCAGAATTTGCAAACGGGAGGGTCAGGAATAGCCGAGTATTGCAATGATTATGATGAATTAAAAGAATTGCAGCCCGCTGTCAACCGCTGCTGCTGGATGAGGGCCTTCTCCACGCCACGTCCTTCATGGGAGTTGTTTGACCATACTTCACCACGCCGGGCAGTGCAAATTGGAAAATGAAGGCTGGGGGGCCAGGCTCCGATATCACTTGCCACTGATGATAGCCCGTGGCCTCTGGGTTCAAATCAACGCAGTGGCCACATTCCGCCCCCCCCCCCCCCCCCCCATATTAATGATCAAATATAAAGATTCATAATAAAGGTTTCTGGGTTCGATTACGTAAGTATAAATGTGTCGCAACCCTCCACCACCCGAAACGGCCAATCAGTAAGAAATGAATCACGTTAACAAAACGCCATTTAGTTACTTCTCAGCCCACCAATGTGTCCGAAGAGTGAATTCACTCTTGGCCGTGTTGGGTGGTGGAGGGTTGCGACACATTTATACTTACGTGATCTAACCCAAAAACCTTTACTATGAAAATTACTGGTCGCGAAAGCCTACGTGTTAAACCAAACATACATATATAGAATTCTTACAGGAATGACCTGAGAAGTCTACATTTTTATCATAGCAATCTTGATTTGAAGCTTTCGCGACTGCAGGAATCCATACGCCTTAGTTCTTTCGGTAAAGTCACGTGGTAGCTAGAAAAAATAACAGATCATGACGTTTAGATCGCAACGCAAGCAATCGTCATCAGGCGGAAAAAAACAAACAAAAAACTTCGTGATCTATTCTTTTTTCTACTTACGTGATTTTATCATATTCATTTTAAAGCAAAGGTTGGGGACGCCTCTCATAATCCGGTAGGTGATATGTGTGCGTGCATGTAAACATATTTGTTTCAGTTTATTGACACAGGGCGCAAAAGCTTGGGGTGCTTCTGACTTTCTGGTGAGCCCTATAATCCAGAAAGTACGGTATGTCTCAATAGAGCCGCTGATCTCGGGTCACCAGACCAATTCTATTGGCAGCAAATCAACATAATCACAATGGAACGATCCAATTATGTTATAATTCGTTGTCAACATGACATGCATTAAAGCATTACGCAATCGATCCATTTTCCAATCGATACGATTTGGGTCGCAGAGGTCGAACGTTCGACAAATTCCAGTGAACAACCCAGCATGGATCATTTTCCCTATCCTCCACACAAAAAATAAAAATGACAAAGTATCTTCTGTTTTGCCGAAATAACAGAAACAAAACAGTCTATTTTTCACGTCATGTCGTAGAGTACAAACCACAGAGAATGGAGAACACTGCCGCTTCAGTGCCTCTTGGCGCAATTAGTAAGAAATAAATTACGGCAGAAAAGTTTTACTGAATAATAAACTGAAGAGTCTGATGTGTCACCGACAGGGCTGTCTCGCGCAATGGCTTCATAACGACTATCCGGTCAATAACGGAATGACCTTTCTCATACTCCATTCACAGTAAATACGTCTTCTAACCGATTTCTGTCAACCTATGAATGGCGACCGCAGGAGCAACAAATGATTGTTTTTTTTTCTGATTTATCTTGACATTATGAACGCGAAGCATTCCCATGCACCCTGGTCAGCCTGTCGGGCTACGTGGTGATTGAGAGTGCCTATTTAGGGTTTGGAATGGCTGGTCTCCACCACACAAAATACACACCTGCCTGGGTGCTCATTTTAGGCAGAGATGGCCTAGGGGTAGTACAAGCCAGCTGAAGACAACATTTACCACAGGTACAAAAAAAATTACAACGCTCTGTTGGCAGTGATGCGCAAGCACAAATAACAAAACTTACGGTCGTAAAAAAACACGGAAATGAAGGGGGAAAAAAAGCTACAATAGGTGTAGAATCGGCCAAAGGCACTTCTTTATAGCAAAGGTATCTCAATAATCACGAGTGTGACCGGCGAGGAATGGAGCGACTATTGGACTCGAAATAAAATAAAAAAGACCAAAAATAGAGAAGTCACGTGATGGACAACGGAACCACTCTCCGATCTCCTGCACACAACTCGTGTGCAGAGAGGGAAGTGCGGTTTTATTTCCTGGAGGGACCCTGCTGTATACACCTATTTTGGGGGTGACTACGGAGCTGTGGTGGGTACCCGCCCTAAAACGTGATTGGCTCAGACTCTCTGCACAATGACAGCCTGCGCTAGAGAGAATGCGATCCCTTGCGGGCGACGTTGGCTGTTGACAGATGACGTATGAAAACCCAGATTACTGAGAACGTATCAAAGTGCACCAACCCACAATCCGCCACTCCCAACACACATACGATACATATATAAAGACAAAGGTGCCCCCTATTACCACAGGCTGTTCGGGCAAGTGCTGCAAGTGCACACCAATGATGGCCGGCTGAGCGCACAAGGGAGTGAGGTTTGGACGACGCCTTTATCTCTACACTGCTGATGTTAATTTTACACACCCCTCCAGGTACTACTTTAAGTTGACTTTGAGAAAGCCCAGGACCAGTACAGATATATGCCACACTGTTAGCCATGGTTTGGAATTGAACTCGGGTCGCTGGGTTCATAGTTCCATGCGTTATCCACTGTGCCGCCGCTTTCCATATTGCTGTATACTGCATGTATATATACACACACACACAAAGCAAAGGTCCCCATAAGGACATACAGGCTATTGAAGCAAGTGCTATTAGCAAGCAATTCACCAGAAATGTTAAGCCTTGCGTTTGAAGTGCAGTGCGAGAACCACTACACGACCGCGACGCTGCACACACAAGTCACACATTTTTACCACGCAGACTACTTATGACACAACGTACCCATAATTTTTTGGGGCCTTCTGCCTGACCCGTTGGAAGTTCTAGGTGAAGGTCCCCTCCGCTGGAGTAAATTTCCACCACCTGTTGGGAGCAACGATAATCATCAGAAACATCGCTCTGCTTCATGACAAACCACGGCCGACATCACCTTCAAACATAAGAAACAATCCCGAAGTAACACGTGACAGAAACACCCTTCACACACCATTCACAGTGCGGGATACACAATTGCTCATCAAGTGCGATCACCAAGGTAATGTGCTCAAAACCATTATACAGCTAACTAAAAAAAACATTTGAACGTTATAACCATCAAAATGCCATGTATCAAGGTAATGACTTAAAGCACGTGAAAAATTGCAAAATTTCAAGTGCAATACAGTAGCCTTAAGAGTACGTGGGGGTGAGGTTCCATTGCTGTATATGTACCCCCGCGTAAGCATCGATTCGCGCAAGTTGGGTTCGCCTGTACCAGTGTAGAATATAAAATGTAAGAGTGTATATAAAATGTATATAAAGGTACATGCATGTTTAATAAAGCACAGTACTCTAAGTAAATGATTCACTAATCATTGGCAACATCCAGGTCAGAGAGAACATTATAGTTTTTTGGACTCGTTTCTTGCGCAGGCGATAATTACACACCGTCATATCCACGTCCGCGTGATGGCGGGGGAGTGATTTGACTCCTCGCTTCCCGCCCCGTGCGTGTAGCAAAAGTACGAGTCACAAGTGTAAGTATGAATTGGGGTCAACCGCAAATGAGCAGGTCCGCGTACTCTGAGATCTTGCTGTATTATAAACATAATTTAAATCATAACTCACATCCCTTTGTCCATCTAGCATGTTAGTCATGGGGGGTTGTTTGGCCATACTTCACCACGCTGGTCAGTGCGAGTTGAGACCGGTTTAAATATAACTCTCCACTGATGACAACTCGGAATCGAGCTCAGGTCGCCGGGTTAATAGCGCAGTGCGTCGATCACCCCACCACAACTGCACCCGCAGTATTACATGCCCGATACAAATAAACAGTACATGACTCAGGACCCTCGACTTGTAAAGGAACTGCATGGCAATTCGATAAAGCTAAAGTCCCAAACATCTTTCAATCAATAACTTTCCGCGGGAGTTTTCTTCTTCCGTATGTGTCCAAAAAACGCTGAAAAACGACGCGGTTAATGCGTCGAGTCCCACAGCGATGTTGGCAACCTTACGACCCCGCAGCCCGTTAGACAGGTTAGGCTTGGTGGTACCAAGATGGAGTGAAAAGGACAAGTGCTAAAGGGAATGCTTTCCTCAGGGCCGAACAGGATGTTCAAGTACCTCTGGCAGGGCAAAAATTAGATGGCACTAAACGTTGGGTCACAAAAATAACGCACGCAATGAACGTCTGCTCAATTAACGTCTTGAAAGACGACTGGGTGCGCTAAAATGAGAAGCACAGCGTTTGTTACGAGATCGAAAATATTCCCATCTAGTATCCGATTAGTGCGGCTAAGTTGCTTCGCAGCGATCGTTCATATAATTTCAAAGTGGTGGGCATCACGCTGCCGTGGGGCCGCATGAATTGAACTCGTGGGACATATCCAGACCAGAGGCCATAGGTTTCCCTACCCCTGACGGAGGGCAATGAGCTAAGTGGCAAACACAAGTGCAAGTCCACGGGAACCGCCTTGAATAAGACTGAAAATGTGACCAACAATCCAGAGCCTAAACGTTGAACCACGGCTTAGAAGCTGGCAGCGCGCTGCGTGTGGCCTTAAAGTGCACTTAGCCTGACACAAGCGCCGTGGTGACGCCACCGCCACTTAGTGGCGAATGGCGGTTGGTGTTCTTGTCGTACCTGCAGCGGCTCGCTGTGCGGGTTGTGGATGTTTATGAGCGGCGAAAAGCTGCTGTTGACGGGGACTCTCGCCCCAACAAACGGGCGCAGCCGGTACGGGTTGGGGATACCCACGCCAAACACCTGGATTGGGAAGGGGATCGGAGCGTGACAAGTGGTTAGGTACACTTTAGGAAAACGCTCCGTTAAGCATCACCTTCGTCTGCCCAAAGGGCTCTTCTCCGATTCAAAAATACATTTTGGGGTCGCATTGTTTAAGTAAAATGTTAAACTAAACTAGTTTTATCTTACCAGGCAAGACCCACCAAGCTATGTAGCTCTTTTTCAGGAGCGACCTGACCGCAAATGAGAGGTCAACAAAGTGGCTTATCGCGTGGAAATTTATAGCAGTCAAATGCTCTAAACACATGATGCTGATTCTAAATGTGGAGGGCAAAACTGGAGGGCCGAGAGAAAAATACATGCGGCCACGGGGGGAGAGAACACGCAAACTACAAATATACAGGCATCAGGGTCAGGATCGAACCCACGGCCTCCTGTATACCAGGCGAGGTAGTTAACATCTTGCCACCGTGTCCATCGTAAACCCTGTCCTGGTCACAACAGGATGGCAACCGAGGGGCAATGGCGACATTTGCCCACAGTGCTAAACTTGTGGCGATAAGCGACGTTCGCCAAGGGCGTCCACATGATGCGCATGCAAATTATTCATGCATCGATCTATGGATTGACATCGATGTTTACATTCGCGAGACACTCATTGAACGACGTGTGCAAGAATCGACCCATTAAGGATTCATACAAACGCCATGCTAATGTTGCATTTGGGATACTGGAGGGGTGAAACTTTTCACGATTACGGAAAACCACGTGTTACGTGAGATAAGCTTTTCACAGACTGGGAAGCTCACACAGAAAAGCATTGCGCTCGAGATTGCCAGTACAAAGTTTCAGTAATCTGGCAGTAGAGTTCCCACGATAAGATGTCGTCATTTCAGTCAATTGATTACTCATAGCTCGTGCAGCTGATGGCACGTACGTTACAAGCGTTATGAATTGTAAAGATGCGATGATTAAATGACCAACGGCAGGCTAATGTTGAGTGGACTGCAGGTAATTAACTTTCAAGCAACATTTATTCGTACTTAAGGCAGATCAAATCATAAAAAAACAAGACGCTGACAATCCAAAATTTGTTGTACAACGAAGAAAGTAAGGGGAAAGTGATATCCCGATAATCGTCAAATTCTATCGTGAAAAACGATATCACGGCCAACCCTACGGGCCAGCAAGGGTCGATGAAGACGGGCAGCAAAAGCACTTTAACCCACATTGCAAACTCAGCGAAATTGTCAACATACTTCACATTGCACTCATACTGTACCTCCCGCTGACACACAGCCGCAGGAAGGTGCAACAAATTGCATACGATAAGAGACGCCTATAAATAATGACAATAAAATACCGTGACACCTTTGCGTGATTGTCATAAGCCTCGCCGCGAGCAATATGGCTGTGTGCGAAGACGATAAAAATCAAAGCGCGATGCTGCGGCTTGTAAATCCGAGTGAGGACTCGCTCTCAATGTTCCCCAGCAGGCACTCTGCCCCCAAGCTTCGCGCAGGCGAGCCTTGGGGAGCTGCAGATGCGCCGAATAAATTAAGCTCGTCTGATTTTGCACTGAAATCATCTGCGTTTTAATTACCGCGCGTTGCAAAGTAGTCTGCCATTAACGTGTTTGTTTCCTCTTTGACTCACCTCGCCTGTCATTTTTCCACTCTGTGCCCAATTCAATATTTCGGGATATATTATTTAGAAATTAACTACAGTTATTTAATGGCAATTTTGGTTTCCTTTCACTTGAGTCATCAGCTGCGGGAGAGTTTCCTGTGAAGGTGAACGACAGAGTTCCGAGGCTCAAGTGAGCATTGGGGGCAGCAGTGCTCATCTCTGTCCATAATTCTAAGCCAGGGGTGGTAATTGCATGTTCCTACGCCAGGGACAAGTGCACTTTAACCCAATTTAATCTTTAGATTACTTACCCACAAAAGTTGCACTGAGCTAGAAAATGTATTTTAAAAACGGTTCCGGTATGGATGTTGCGTAAATTTCTTTGCGAGTACTTTTTGCGTGCAGGGGAGGAAAAAGAAAAAAAAACCTCAGAGTAGCCACAAAAACCCACAAATATGGAAACACAACCATACTTACTGTACTGCACTATACGAGTTGCCTCTAAAACAATCACAAGAGTCGACTCCTATCGCGCAAAGCGACCCGGCCTCTTGCGTTTGCTCGTAACGGTGACATAACACCGACGACGGGCGAGGTCTCATCGCCTCGGCGGTGGCGTGACGTGTTACGTCAACACACCAAGGCCGGAGGAGCAGGACTGCGTTTGCGAATACGCAACCACGAAGGGAGAGTACAGGTCAGGAGCCAGTGCCGGGTTGATGTGTCACCGGCGTCACCGGGCGGCAAGGCAACCGGAAAGGAGGGTGGAGGGGGGGAGACGGGACGCGCATGCCGTACCAAAAAAAATATTCCTACGCCACGACCCAAACACGCCAACGTCTTCGAGTTTCACTGGGAAATAATATTCTTCCCCGCGCCCCCATTAAGGGCCCCATGAATAAATACAGACCCGCATTGACGACAATGATGAGGGAAGTGTTTTATTGAATGCGGGAAACTTTGATTTTTGACTTAACAGAGCTTCTCATCGGCAAGGTGTGGCTTCAGAAACCAATGCCAAAGCAAATACCTTCGTGCTACAGGTAGGAGCAGCCACTGACTGGTACTGGCAAAAGCAGGGCCCAGGAGTGTACAGCAAATGTTCAAACGAAGTGTCTTTTTTTAGTTGTGGGCTGAAAGAATCTGCTAAAAATACGTACACTGGTTAGGATCTAAAAACATCAACATTTGTCGACGGCTTCCGACAATAACATCAAGGGGGGAGAGCAATTTATTATGGGGCCCAACTTTGCTGATGAGTCTATTAAGTTGAGGCCATTCAAAGGTAGCCTATCTAGAGAACAGACGTTCATTTTGAGGTGACAGATGTTCATCGTGGAAGGGGTGCCTTGTTGTTTGAGGTATGTGAAGCATCATTAATAAAGGAAATGGATGAATGGAACGAGCAAAAATGAACGCGACCGAGAAAAGCATTTAATCTTAAATGTTATTTCCTTTCAGAAACGTATTGGGAAAAACAACCTCAACGTGATTTGTTTTATCCGTACATGCATCTACCACGCAAGAGAAGAAGGGCAGTCTTGTTCGAACTGTAATTAGCCCAAGTGGAAAGCAGAAATGTTGACTGCACCGTACACGGCTGCATGGCTTGGTGCGAGTGAGTATTTCTAAGCATGCTGTTGCCGTGTGTGTGTGTAATCAATCGGGGCCATATTACATTCCTAGTGGCTTTGCACGTGATTACCATCAGCCGTCTCAAATCTCAAAAATGATTTCTTTTTGCAAATTAGAAGTAATTTGTACGTATATTTTTGAAATCAAGTAGTTTAGATATTTAGTTTTTATTGAGGATTCTCCACATTTCATTTTGTGCTTCATGGTTATCACTCCGAGGAATAATTCACTTTTAAAAAGATGCTGTTTTAACTTTATTTAAATTTTAGCACTCATGAACCTTTGCTGTTATAAACTTTGCTAATATTTCGAACTGAACTTTACCTCGTTGAACATGACCTTGCTTGCAATTACCTTCGCTGTCATGGCGTTGTCATTCTGTCGGTATTTGTGGACACAAGTCCGAGAACAGTGGAATATATCACATCAACTTTCCGCCCACTAAGATCTGTTGTGGGAAGCAGCTCTTATCTCGACTTGGCATGGCAGGAAAGCCATCAAGTGGATCGCCAAACTAAACACCCTATTAGAAGCGTTTCAATCACAAAAAATAAGAATATATTCTGAGAAATTTAATTGCTGGATGGACTAGAACCTGCTTGCTGCTTTCATGTATTCACCTTCTCCCAGGTCTCCCTTAAAAATATATACTTCCACTGTCATCAGGTTTTACTATTCATGGAATTCAAGAATACTGATTTTTAACCTGTTTTTAGAAACTGTGGCTAACTCAACCTGAGCAACAGTAATACAAAAAAGTACGGTTGCTTACGCTCGCAAATATTCCTGATAAATTAGCAGTTTTATTTTCGACTGGAAAAAAATTATAATCCAAGCGTTGCTGATGAACCGATAATTTTTCAGAGATTCACGGTCAAACACAGACGCCTGGGCCTGTGGGAGTCGTGGGCGTGGGAACGGAGTGGAGAGATGTGGCCCTGTTGCTCCCTTCCCCCCCCACCCCCCGTATGCTGAGCCGTCATTGGCCCCCCTTGGCTAGACACGAAATGGGTCCCTCTGAGGCAAATTGTCCCCCCCCCCCCAAATTCAAGCTTGTTCCCACACACCTGGAGGACGTTTGGGGGTGTGCTCATTGTTTAAATATAGAGTTGCAACGATGTAATTTTTTCACAATACGTTGTCAAATTTCATTATACGAAGCCTATCACGATATCCGTTTCCCATAACTTTGTAAGTGTATTTGATATTTCTTATTCTAGTATACTGTGCTGTGCTTCCAGTACAAATACTGACGACTAAAACGTTGTTCAACTGCGGCTAACTCAACATAAGCTTCCCATAAGGCTTATTTTATAAATGTAACTTTACAAAAAGTTACATTTATAAATACACTTGCTGCCACTTACACATGAAACAATTAGCTAATTCAATGAACTACAAAAATGATATAATTGTCATGACATCAATGAATCCAAATAACTTTTTTCCCATGGGTTAATCTCATGGATACCTCTTTTATATGACTTTCATGACTGAGTTTGTTATCTCTAAAATATTTCATCTCAAATATTTTATTTCCTAATTAAATATTGGAGAAAATTTCAAAGAGCAAGAATGATTATATAACAATATTTTTGCAATGTGGACGATACAATCATTGTGGATAAAAAACAGTTTATTGTACGAAATATCTTAATATTGCACGTACACACACTCACAAAGATCCCCCGTATTGCCTTAGCAGACTTTTGGGGCAAGTGCTGTTAGCGAGCACCTATGAAGAGGGGGGAAAAATATCTTCATCATCGCTTATTATTTAGCACTGATTTTGACAGTGTTTTCAAGTGCTCCTCTGACACTGTTACTCCGAGTTGTGTTTGCTCCGTTGCTGTACTTTAGTTTTTGTCATTGCTTCCGTCATTTTGGTGACGCAGGTAGCTATTGCCAATGAGACTTCATCCTGGTCTTACGAGCTCTCGCCCGGTTGAACAAAATCAACTTGAAACATCCAAACGAGGCTTGTGGGTGCGCGCGCCGGTGCCTGACCGTGGACACGAACGTGCCAATAAACCGGCGATTGTGCGAAACGGCTTGGTGAGGGCATAGCAAGCGGGCTCGCTCACCTGGTAGGTGAAGACCCCGTGGCGGGACGTGTTTATAAAAAGTGTGTTTTCCACGTTCCCCACGACCCGCGCCAGGAACACCACCTCGAAGGATGTGTTTCCTCCGGGCGGAATTACCTAAAACGCGCACACACAAGCAAACAAACAGTTAAACACGTCTTTCGCAACCAATATTATCCATTAGAGGTTTTTGTTGGGTTAGATTGCGTCAATATAAGCGAGTCATTAAACCCGCCACGACCTGATACAGCCAATTAGTAATGTTTGTCACGTAAACAAAAACATGCCGCTTGTAATTACCAGCGAGACGACTCTGGCTGTCGCCTGATGAAGCTGGTTGTAAATGTCGTACTCAAATTGTAAATGTTGTGGGTTTACTCTCCAACACACTGGTGTGCTGAACTACTAACGAATTGGCACGTTTTGCTTACGTGGCAAACCTTACTAATTGGCTGTGTCGGGCGGTGGCGGGTTTAACGACACAACATTATTTCACGCGATCTAACCCAAATAACCCCTTATAAACAAACAACAATAACGCTGAGATCACGACGCTTTGTTTCTTCTCACACAGCTTAAAGGTCGTGATCTCAGCGTGGCTTTCTCACTCCAGCGCTGTCCTCCAGACAGTCTCGTCCCCTTCACCTGATGAAGGCCGCTTGTATTGTGGCCGAAACGTCGTGAGAATATTATTGTGTTATTTTATTTTATCAATTTATTATTTTATTCTCATTCTACGTGACTTTACCGAAAGAACCAAAGAAGATGAATCCTTGCAGTCACGAAAGCTTTAAATCGAAATTTGACTCCTTACTCTTTGGTTCTTTCGGTAAAGTCACGTAGGTAGAAAAATGTAATAAAATAAGAAATAATAAATCACGATGTTTCGATCGCAACACAAGCGGTCGTCCTCAGGCGGAAAAAAAATAATCCAGCAGTAGAACCGCTGAACCAGGAGGATTCTTTTTTTTCGCCTGAGGATGACCAGCTTGTGTTGCGATCGAAACATCGTGATTTCTTATTTTATTTTTCTACCTACGTGAATTTACCGAAAGAACCAAAGAGTATGGATCCCTGCAGTCACGAGAGCTTCAAATCAAGATTGAAGGTGACTCCTGGCTATCCTTACAGACTACGTGGAACGAATTATAATGACAATTATTTAATAATACAGTAGCCAATGTCCATAGTGTGCTTGTATCAGAAGTTGTCCTTCAGCATAATGTAATAATGTGTTCCGACATCAGAATCATGCTTAAATAAGGTGTGCTTGTATCCATTCTCTAACCGGATTAACATGAATTTTCGGGAAGCTCCTGCGTTATTGGGGACGTTGGGCCACTTTCACGAATGACTGCGTAGCATTGGTGAAACTGAGCCTCGGAAAGCCCCCACGCCGGTCACCCATCCAAGTACTAACCAAGGTTGAAAATCCTAATGAGTTTCATATTGTGTTTACAAGCACCTGCGCTCAGGCCGGCAGGACATGTGGTGGGGTGATGTGGCTGTCAAAGAATTCCGTTTAGAACCATAAGGGCCTAGAGCCGCGTGTTATAAACAGACCGGCGCTGGCAGGCAAACGCACGCGGGCACGCAGAGCGCACACGTAGAGAAAGATACCACCACCGGACCGAGGCGAGACCACGGTTGAAAACATTAGTCACGCCGTGTGGGTGCAACGACGCATTGGACTGTAGATTGATGCTAATTCTGAAGTTCATGATGCATGCATAAAATTGCATGTACAATAATGTTGTTTTAATCATACATTAAGTACGCAATGAGTTCAAGTGGCCTCCTACAGTCACTAGAGGTAGCTATATTCAGCATAAAATTAAAATGAATGTGGTATTGAATAGAATTCAGAACTATGGTCAATAACAATTTGAATGTATCATTTGTAATTCTAATTGCATCTAACAGTGCTGCTGCTGCTGCTACAATGGTAAAAACAATTGCCCTCGAGTCTGACAATGAATCGTGTGACCCTGCATCGTGACAATTAATGAAATTGTGAGGGAGCGAAGAGGATCATCATTAGGTCTCGAATACTCACTCAAGTGCGCTTACAAAGCTATTTATGTTGCGCTAATTCAAATAATACAATCATATTGAGCATTTAATCATTATTCATTACGACTCTAATACGATGACATGTGCTCTTGGTAACAGTATACAATAATTGCTACGTAGGTGCAAGGCTAAATATCTGCTTCCAATACAGGCATTATATTTATTTTTGGCACAAAACACATAGCATCACGTAAAAAGTGAGCGTGGCAGATTCCTAGGAACGCTGCTGCGAGATATTTGCACGAGACAGGTAAGACGGGTATTTCTGCAAAACTGTTCGAATACAGAGGGGTAGCAAGAGTGAGCACATGAATCTTGACTTAAAGCTTTCGCGACTGCAATCATTAATATTCTTTGGGTCTTTTTTCTTTTGTTCTACGGGACTTTACAGAAAGACCCAAAGGATAAGTGAGCGCACACATACAAACAAATGACAAGGCGCAATAACAAAGTCGATGTTCTTCTCCATGAAGGCCTTGTAAGGCTGTAAGTTAAAAAAATGCTGTCAGCGAGCACCTATTAAGGCCGGCATGACACATGACGGCTGAGTGTAAGTCATAACCGCAGCCAGGTCGTCTTCATCTCCCCACTGACAATTGTTTACACACTGCACCAGGTACTCGTTTAAAACCGAGTTGACTTGGTAGAGGCCTGGGACAGGATTATACGACACTTACCACTGACATTAGTAGCGGCGGGAAATGTAACTCTGCTGCACCAGTTTAACTGCACAGCAAGCTAACCACGACGCTTCCACTTTCCACCCAGACACATGCAAACACCTATAGCAATACCCGCCATTCGCCACTAGTGACGGTGACATCACCCGAACCTGTGCTAGGTCAGGTGGCACTTTGAGGCCACGTGAAGTGTTGAAGGCTCGCTGGCAGGAGGTCACGGGATAAACCCAGGTGCCAATACACACGCAGATGCATATACATGTATACACACATACATACATGTATACACACGTACATAAAAGACTATATATCACTGAGAAACTGCTGTTAGAGTGCACCTATCAAGGCCTGTATGGTGCACAAGGTGGACGGCATCATGCCTTCGTCTCTTCAGTGCTGATGTTTACACACTGCTCCAGGTATTCGGTTAAGGATGAGTCGACCTCGGGGAAGCCTAGAATCAGTTCAGATATTCGTCGCTGATGTAGGTCGTGAACGAAAATCGCTTTATTCGTAGTGCAGCGCGCTAACCACTACACTACCGCTTACCATGATGTGTGCGCACACACACAAAGATCCCCCGTATAGCCTTAACTGACTGTAGGGGCAAGTGCTGTTAGCGAGCATCTATGAAGGCCGGAACGGTACACGAGGGGGTGGGTGGCCAGCAACCACGCCCGACCGCCTTTGTCCCCCCAGTGGCGATGTTTACACACCGCACCAGGTACTCATTTCAGGCTGAGTCGACCTAGGGGAGGCCCAGGACCGGTTCAGATAATCGTCACTGATGTTGGGGAATCGAACCCGGGTCGCTATGTTCATAACGCAGCACGCTAACCGCTACACTACCGCACACACACAGACACACGTACACACACACACACACGGACCCACAAACAAGTGAATACATGTATGCACACCCGCGCGCGCACGCACATACACACACAGCACTGAGGCACAAGCATGTTTGTACCCGCTCACCCGATTTTGAAAAAAGGATGCGTGGAAATGTGACGTGGTCGCCGATATTGATAATAACGTTATCGTCTCCTCTGCGCTGGGGTTGTGCAGGAAAACGGTCTCCATCTTCGGCATGCCCACCGGCCTGTAGGGCAGAGCGGGGTTGAGACAACAAGCGCTGATATAGCAAGGGCGGCGTTGCACGCGCGTGGCCGCTACACGTGGCATTTCCCAGGGTCGCCACCTGTCCGGGTTTTCCCAGGATCGTCGTTCTCTTGTTTCAGGCAGCCCTCTCGGGGAAAAATAAAATCTGTAAATCCTCCCGCAACATTTTATGTTGGAATAAGCGCGGTTCTCAATTGAATGACGAGCATTTGGAAAATCAATGGGGTGGAAAAAATGTAATGTTCGTCTGGTTTCGTACCACGTGCGGAACATTCATGAATGGGATTTGGCCATAGATCCCAGTGCAGGAGCCTCGTGAATGTGGTTATTGAGCCTCAGTGAGGCTTCACGAAGTAAATAAATGTAAAGCCACGCATTTGCAAGTACTTAATTTTATTTTAATAAATGTTTGATTAAATTAACGTTGACTCAATGAAGGAGAACATTTGCTTTTATTTGTACAAGTTAAGTTAATTTCTCCCACTTATAGAACCAGGCAACCCAACAATGAACCAAAATTAATCCCCACCACCCCGTTGGTTCTCTTATTTTGTGCTGTATAGCTCGCCGGCTTAGTTGTCAGGTCATAGCGTGTAGCGTTTGGCATTGTCCAATGTTGCGCTCCATGTGCTGGAGAGGGGTTCTCATTTCATGTTCGTGGAGAAACTCCAAGCACGTAAATCAAAACACGTCAGGCATCACGCGGAACAACATGCTGTCCAGCGTGAAAACATACGGGAGGAGCCGCTACGGTAATCCATGTTACCCAACTCGTGACGTTGTCGCATGCGAGACAAACACAGGACAGCCCCCCCCCCCCCCCCCCAGACAAGCCACCATCTCTCACATTTCAATGTGTGTTCGGCAGATATCATTTCAGGACAAGCTTCTGACATCTACACGAGCCCGGCATTGTGAAGGATTACCCCGACACTCTTACGGCAGGCGGTGCGGGGTTTAGCAGTTTCTCTCAAACGTTTGCGCGGACGCACAAACCAAGGAGGTTATGCTCATTAACACCTACTTAACGCGGCGGGATAGAGAGGGGTGAGACGGGCCGAGTGAGATTAGTCCACGCTGGACGCACGAGCGGGGGGGGGGGGGGGGGGGGGAACGAGCGCTGCGATAGAGTTACAGGGAGGCAGGTGTCCCACGAAACACGACACCGGGTTTTTTGGTAGCGGCTCAGGTCGCGTGGCCAAGCCGAGCGAGCTGAGCGAGAGGGGCTGGGCTGGGATGCCCTCCAATTACCAAAAAAACAGTGCCATCGTGCACAGGCGCCACCCCCCCCCCCCCCCAAGAAATTTTACGTCTATTCCTTGCCCTGCCGATACCGTGGTGAACGGCAACACAGAGGTATTGCTCACAGGGCCTCCAGAAGTGAAATTCGATGTTTGTATTGTCCTTTGGGGGAAAAAAAAAAACAACTTTAGATTACCTAGCAGGCCTTAGCAACTTAGCCCGGTCATTATTATTAACGAATGGTGGCTAATGAATGGGAGGAACAAGCACCAGATATAACGTTTTGAGAATTGCACCGAAAAGGAACACACGCATTGCTGGTCATAGGCAAGTTAAAGACGCCACTTTAACTGTCCATAAAAGTAAGTGGGCTCGGGCAGGGACATGTTGCTGGAAAGGAGGACGTAATGGCTGTTGGACGAGACCAATGAGAGTGCGGGGCCAAGAAGATGTCCTTCACAGAGATGGACGAGTGATGAAATGCGCTCGAGTGGGGGAGCTTCATCGACCGTTGCATCGCAAGACTGAGGAGATGATGACAGGTTGGGAGGCCTTCCTCTAGCAGTGGACAGATCATGGTGGATGATGATAAGTTTCAAGAAATGGCCCTTCAACCACATATTTGTCTCATTTTCCTCAAGCAAGCCATAATAAAAAGTGTTTAAATCCCTTATCCCTTCCAAGGCCTCGCAAGGTGCACGCGCCCCCTATTTACAAAGCGTCTTTGAAATTTTGGTTGCATTTTAATTTTTCTCTACATTTCTTAACTCTTCACTTTCCAAAACATCTATCCGAGCGACCCACAAATGGTTGCACTGGCTAGGATGTTCAAACACAAGACACGCTATATGGAGGTTGCTGAAGTTGATCAAGAAGAAAAGTAAACATAGGTCTGTCAAGCTACGTAAAAATGTTGTGGCATTAAATATTTAATAACAATAATACCAGGAAAGCCTCTCTTGAGTCTCAATGCTACTTTGTCAGAAGCATTCTACATTGGAATGTGAGGTCGATTCCATCAGCTAACAGCTGTTTAGCATGTCAAAGAAAACCAGAGTGCCCAAAGTGATAATACTTAAGTTCTGCACAGACGGACGCAATCCACAGCTGTACTTATACCATTTTTGACATGCGTTTTTCTGGATTTTTTTTATTGGTATTCTGTCTCTCACTGTTCAAATAAACCTACCATTAAAATTATAGACTGATCATTTCTTTGCCAGTGGGCAAACGTACAAAATCAGCAGGGGATCAAATACTTTTTTTCCCTCACTGTACATTGAACTTGCTTCGCGGCGTACGGTACCAACCGTGATAATCGGAGGTGTGGGGGAACAACAACAAACTAAACACAAAAATCAGTTCGTGTTTAGTTTTGTGAGGAAGGCATTCGTAAAAATTTGTGGATACAATTCAATTTAAAAATAGATTATTTTTGTGTCTCATTACCATACTTTTCTGGTTCACTCGTATGGGGTATCCTAAACGTAGCATAAGCACATTATTTGTATGAACTGTAGGTAAACGATTCCCATATTCACACATGTGCCGTGAGCATAAGAACACATTAAGAACGGATTAACCAATGCATCGTCACACGCCTCATGATAGGGGCATGGAGGAGGAGAGGCCAAGTTTGTGTAAACGTCACTGCTTATATATACGGCTTGGGATCTAGTCTCGGCCGAGCTGCTGTTTCTGGGTTGTTCCTGGATTGTTCTCTGGCTGTTCTTGGGCCAACACACAGCTGGGTCAAAAGTGATCATGGATACGAGGAGTGAGTGTTGCGCCGGCTGCGTGTTTGTGTGTGCACTTGACCCAAAAGTAAGTTGAGGCTATATGGGGGATCATTGCCTGTGTCTGTGCTCATGTGCACACACGTGCCAGTGTGCAAGTTTGTGTTTGCTCGCTTTCACTAAAATTGGGCAAGTTGCAATGTCCCAAATGAGTTGTAACTTGCTTAACATAAACAAATGAAAAAAACCTGTGGGTTGGAACTAATTTTGTTTTTATCTCCCGATATTTGGAGGGGGGGGGGGGTGTTGCGTTGACATGGGGGCACGTTGCTTAAAAATCTTGCGTGATCATCAAGATTCTGCCTTCATCACTGATGCTTGCAGCTAAGATGTTGCCCGACTCTGCAGCTTGCGAAACAGTGGTTTTGAGAAACTAGTTGCGAATTTTAGTTCGAGCTTGAAAGTCAGCTTTGCAAAACATTAACTGAAGCCCTTAAGAAAGAAGGCATTGCAATGCAGATTTGCTGACTTTGAGTCATGCGTCTTCCAGCGCTTGATCTGATATGTCACCATCTGTACTGACACATTTATAATCACCACTAGGAAGCAAAGTCAATTACAATAACCTAATTACAGCCAGTACAAACAATGCGAGTGGGTCCGTTTAATATCTGCCAGGTGACGCATGCAACGCCCATCGATACGATGTGCTTGTGGAAATATTAATAAGGGAGGGCGTGCGTGTTTGTCTTGATACCACGTAGCGCGCTGCGCTACAAACCAGGTAACCAAGTTCGATTTTCGCTCATGGCCACCAAGTTCGATTTTCGCTCACGGCCACCAAGTTCGATTTTCGCTCACGGCCACCAACACCGGTGACGATTATCTGAACCGGTTCTGGGCCTCCCCTAGGTCGACTCAGCCTCAAATGAGTATCTGGTGCTGTGTGTAAACATCGCCACTGGGGAGACAAAGGCAGTCACACGTGGTGCTGGGCACCCACCCTTCTTGTGTGTCATACTGGCCTTCATAGGTTGCTACTCGCTAAGCGAACTTTCCCCAACAGTCTGTTGAGACAACCTCCGTACCACGTGCAGCAATAACTAACACTGCGACCCCGACCACACCGATGCCAGACAATTCAGAAGGGGACGCTGGGATGCCGAGCGTGAGGGGGGGGGGGGGGGCGTTCCACGCGAGACCGCCGCACGCTCGAGCGAGACGGCGGGGGTCACCGGTGGGGGGGGGCCTAGGTGACAGCTGGACGAGCTGGCTCCCCCCCCCCCTCCTCCTCCTCCTTCTACTACCAGTATTCCACCAACGAGGTCACACCGGGCCAGTACAGCCACGCTTACCCCCCCCCCCGCCGTGCTCATAAAATCGAGTCGGCGGCATTGGTGCAGCTAAATGGGATAACAAAAAAAAACGGGTTGCACCCTGAAGCGGCAATGAAATTACATTCTGAAACGCCGCCCCTACCGGCCAATGATCTTGAGCGTCTCCATGTAGGGGGAGATGCCTACCGACAGGGCAAGGTGGTGCCAGTTTCCGACGTGCTATGGCGCCTGAGAGGCTGTGTGTTCTACCAAACTATACTCCCGCGTCCCTGTGTTCCCATCTGCACCGACAAGCATGGTGCAGGATGGTAAATTCATTCCAATGACATGCACATGGCGTGGGGAGGCCTACAAACCAGCAACGGGTTGACAGAAGAACTGCACGAGTGAATGTGTGCAGGGATCGTGTGTTCTCTTCTTGAAGTTGTGGGTTTACTCTGGGCACTTCAGTTTGCCTCCACCGTGCAAAAGACACTCAAGGGATTGGCCAAACACCCCAAGTAGAACCGTCCCGAACAGAAATCTTAAGAGACTCAGCGAGGCTTTCCTAAGTAAATATCGCTTCCTATAATTATTTATTAACGGTGTGAATGGTATTCTTGGTTCTTTCGGTAAAGTCACGTAGAAGGGAAACAATAAAATAATAAAAATATAAAATTCTCACGACGTTTCGACTGCAACACAAACAATCAACATCAGGTGTGAAAACCACAGCAAGAAAATTTTAAAGTGGCGGTTTTTTTTAACGTTAGCACCACGGAGAGCGATTTGGCAGTTATTCAGATGGACGAGTCCATCTATGTTCGGAAAAGAGGAGGGGGGAGACGAAAATAATGTATGCGGTCTGAAAGCCACCGTAAGCGTGAACAATCAATTAAGACCCGAAATGGTTTATCAAATCCTTCCAATGATTGCTAAGCCAGAATCCATCTTCTCGGTTGAAATTGTCTCTGTTTGTATATGTGGATAGCCTCATGAACGAATCTCTCATGGTAGCCAGATGGCTTGCAGAGAACCTCTGTCTTGGAGAAGTCAATGTCATGTGAGCCTACTGAATTATAACAGTGATCTGCCACGGCCGAGGTGTTGGTCCTACCGTGTTTTAGGTCTGCTTTGTGTTCACGGATGCGGTCCGAGACATGTCATTTGGTTTCTCCAATGTAACTACTACCACAGAGGCAACTTAGTTTGTAGACGCCAGGGTACTGTATGTCCGGAATCACATCTTTTACAGACGGAACCAGATCACGAATTTTATGTAATGTGTTGAATCGGACCTGGATCTTGTGTTTATTCAAGATTTTGGAGATCTTTTTTGTGATCCCCGCAATGTAGGGTAAAGTGATAGTTTTGAATGGCTCCTCAAGAGGGTCCTTCTTCATGGTTGGAGTGATAGCTTTGCCGATTGTGTAGTCGGAGTAACCATTAGCCTTAAGAGCTTGGTGTACGTGCTTGAGTTCACTGGCTATGTGTTCCTGGTCAGATATGCATTGGGCTCTATGGTGCAGAGTCTTGATGAGGGAATTCTTCTGGGATGGATGGTGGTGGGAATCCGGTTTCAGGTAAGCATCCGTATGGGTAGCTTTCCTGTAGACAGAGTGGCTCATTGAACCATCAGGTCTCTTTTTTATTAGGACATCATACACTTACGCCAGTTAAACATGTGCACGGCTGCCGTTTAAGCAAACATAAATTTTATTTTTTGTGCTCTGCGTGGCTTGTCGGAGAAAATGCATAAAGTTGAGTCTGAGATCGTGGTGTTAATTTTCACCCACGTTTTGCCCCACGTCCCCCCCCTCCCCTCCAACATCACTCGCGTATTTAACTTTCGTATAATTTCACGCTTGATGCAGCCAATAGGGCCCTAACTTGAACAATATCAACCTTTAAACTCCTGTACCTCCGATTAGCACGTTTGGCGACTGTGCGAAAGAAGTTCAACATACATGCGTGCGTCTGTCAAAGTCACAGCAGATTTAAGCACACCTACTGAGTGACGTTGAGACGAAATGTAGCATAACCAATCACGTGGCTCAGACTCACGGCCAGTAACGCTGAAGATAGATGCGTCCCCACTTAATTTGCAGCCATTTGATAGCTCTTAAAAATGTAAGTACTCTACTTAAAAAAAAAACATTCACTACAAATTGGCGTGATGTCCACGGCATGTCGCAGGCTGTGTGCAGTGGACTTGAATGAACATCTTTCTCGATGCCCCTCTGCGTATGGGTTTCAAAGGCAAACAAACCACACTTGGTGGTGTCACGATGTTAAATGGTGGGACCGCACAGAAACAGACTTAACCAAGATGTTCCAAACTTTCCAAAAAGTGGACCAGAAACAATTTCAACATTGACGTCCTTTAACAAAAAAGTGTGCAAAATGTATTTCTATCAAGGTCCAAGTACGTGAGCGGATAATAATTACAAAGTCAGCGGGAGCGCTTTAGAGTCACTCCGCACGGGGTGCAAGGTTCATGTTCTGTGGTGCGGTAGCTACAGGTTACACGGCGGTGGTGGCTACACAAGCAACACTTCGCCATGCTGCTACCTGCAAACGATCGCACGTCGCCAAATAAAGACGTGGCATACTCACTGTTCGTGAAAATCCAGCATGGGCGGCTCAAACCGGATGGGTCTGCTGCTCTCTCGGCTGCATCCCGCACTGCAAAACACAGGCACGGCGACCAACGTGTTCAGAAGCAGCGTGCACAGCAACGGCGCGCGCATGTCGGCGTGCCGCGCGCAGGCCCAGAGCCACGCGGGAAACAACCGTCGTCCTTCTCGACGTCCTTCCGCTCCGGCCGTCGAACTTGCCGACGGGCGAGTCCCTCCTGCTGTGCGGCGCTGTCGGCGTTCGGACCGCGCATGGGTACAACGAGGGACGAGCGAGCCGTCCGCCTGGCGAGCGTTGGCCGAGCTGGCGAGACAAGGCTCGCAGCGACGAGCCGAGCGTCCGAGCGAGAGCACGGGCGACACGTGAAAAAGCGAAAAAAAATATTTTGTTTGTGTCTTTTATCCCCCCCCGCCCCCCACTCTGCGCCAACGCCCACGCCCGCCCAAAGAGGTTGCCTCAGTCATGGCCCCACCCCTGACTCTACTGGCTGAGCTCGGGACACACGGGAGACGCGCCGGCCACACAGATCAGCACACGCTGTTGAGGCATTCCTGTCTCAGGTCGCAGCGACGGCGGCGTAAGGTGGTTTGGCCGGTTCCATACATACACAAGTGACAAAATACAAATGCAAGCATGTGTAATAACACGGAATTCTTTCAGCAATGACCTCGTCAGACTTAAAACAGGTGAGTGGATAATGTATCATGGCAATTGTGGGCAGTGTGACGAGAGAAGGCTTGCAGAACTCTAAAGCACGGATTGGTATAGGGTGGAGAAACGCAACATTGAGACATACGCTCGTAACTCAGGCAGAGGTAATACAAGTGACAAATGCGACTCCAAGTATATAGTGAGGGGGAAAAGGTATTTAATCCTCTGCTGATTTTGAACGTTTGCCCACTGACAAAGAAATTATCAGTCTATAATTTTAATGGTAGGTTTATTTGAACAGCGAGAGACAGAATAACAAAAAAACCCAGAAAAACGCATGTCAAAAATGTTATAAATTGATTTGCATTTTAATGAGGGAAATAAGTATTTGACCCCCTCTCAATCAGAAAGATTTCTGGCTCCCAGGTGTCTTTGATACAGTTAACGAGCTGAGATTAGGAGCACACTCTTAAAGGGAGTGCTCCTAATCTCAGCTTGTTACCTGTATAAAAGACACCTGTCCACAGAAGCAATCAATCAATCAGATTCCAAACTCTCCACCATGGCCAAGACCAAAGAGCTCTCCAAGGATGTCAGGGACAAGATTGTAGACCTACACAAGGCTGGAATGGGCTACAAGACCATTGCCAAGCAGCTTGGTGAGAAGGTTGGTGTGATTATTCGCAAATGGAAGAAACATAAAAGAACTGTCAATCTCCCTCGGCCTGGGGCTCCATGCAAGATCTCACCTCATGGAGCTGCAATGATCATGAGAACGGTGAGGAATCAGCCCAGAACTACACGTGAGGATCTTGTCAATGATCTCAAGGCAGCTGGGACCATAGTCACCAAGAAAACAATTGGTAACACACTACGCCGTGAAGGACTGAAATCCTGCAGCGCCCGCAAGGTCCCCCTGCTCAAGAAAGCACATGTACATGCCCGTCTGAAGTTTGCCAATTAACATCTGAATGATTCAGAGGACAACTGGGTGAAAGTGTTGTGGTCAGATGAGACCAAAATGGAGCTCTTTGGCATCAACTCAACTCGCCGTGTTTGGAGGAGGAGGAATGCTGCCTATGACCCCAAGAACACCATCCCCACCGTCAAACATGGAGGTGGAAACATTATGCTTTGGGGGTGTTTTTCTGCTAAGGGGACAGGACCACTTCACCGCATCAAAGGGACAATGGACGGGGCCATGTACCGTCAAATATTGGGTGAGAACCTCCTTCCCTCAGCCAGGGCATTGAAAATGGGTCGTGGATGGGTATTCCAGCATGACAATGACCAAAAACACACGGCCAAGGCAACAAAGGAGTGGCTCAAGAAGAAGCACATTAAGGTCCTGGAGTGGCCTAGCCAGTCTCCAGACCTTAATCCCACAGAAAATCTGTGGAGGAGCTGCGGGTTCGAGTTGCCAAACGTCAGCCTCGAAACCTTAATAACTTGGAGAAGATCTGCAAAGAGGAGTGGGACAAAATCCCTCCTGAGATGTGTGCAAACCTGGTGGCCAACTACAAGAAACGTCTGACCTCTGTGATTGCCAACAAGGGTTTTGCCACCAAGTACTAAGTCATGTTTTGCAGAGGGGTCAAATACTTATTCCCTCAATAAAATGCAAATCTTCTTTGGTTATTTCGGTAAAGTCACGTAGAATGAGAATAATCACTCAGCTATTTCAATGCTAAATTATCCTGTTTGATTTGTACTAGGTGCATCTGTGGATGTGTATGCTTTGACTTTAACATAGCCATTTCTGTGACCAGTCACAAGCTAATCACTCAGCTATTTCAATGATAAATTCTATGCTAATTCCTTTGTCAAGGCGCTGTTTCTTCTCACACAGCTTAAAGGTCGCGGTCTGAGCTTGGCTGTGTTCGCTCCAGCGCTGTCATCCAGACAGTCTCGTCCCTACACCTGATGAAGGCCGCTTGTGTTGTGGCCGAAACGTCGTGAGAATTTTTATTGTGTTATTTTATTTTATCAATTTATTGTTTTATTCTCATTCTACGTGACTTTACCGAAAGAACCAAAGAAGATGAATCCTTGCAGTCACGAAAGCTTTAAATCGAAATAAAATGCAAATCAATTCATAACATTTTTGACATGCGTTTTTCTGGCTTTTTTATTGGTATTCTGTCTCTCACTGTTCAAATAAACCTGCCATTAAAATTATAAGCTGATAATTTCTTTGTCAGTGGGCAAACGTACAAAATCAGCAGGGGATCAAATAGTTTTTTTCCTCACTGTAGGAGCGAGCTAGGCATTACTTACTATAAGGACAAAATAATGAATAATTTACAGCCCTTTTGCCAATGTGTTAGTTGAATGCCTCCCTATGCCGTGTCGGTTAGAGGAATTATTTGACCGTATTTCAGTATTCTGGTCAGTGCGGGGTTGGTGAAGCAGCTCAGCCCAGGACCCATTCAGATGTCACTCGCCACTTATGTCAGCCATGGTCAGGAATCAAACTCGGGTGGCTGGATCGACGAAATAACCTAGCGAGTCAGTGCGTCATGGCTCCACCCAAGGAGGGATAAGGAGGGCAGACTCAAACAGAGTTATTTATTGAGGTCGTTTGTGGCCAGCGCGGCCCTCCGATGGTTCACAGCGAAAGTAAAAAGTTACAACTCAAATATGCCTTGCGAAGAAGCAGAGTTCACACTTGCTGTGATGGGACTTTGGATACCCCTGTGGACCACGGCAGTTGCTTGAGAAGCAGTTGTGTCGAGACGCTGCACAAATACAATTTGTAACGCACTGCTTGAATAATTAGTGTTATGATTCATTCATTGATATTGCTGTTGTTGCACATTCCCACGTGGAAATAAAAAAGCCTTCTTACATCATGATAACTTTACTCCACCTCCCCCAATGACATCACATAATGGACCGTCTGGCCAACAACACAGGGAATTCAACAACAATAACAATCACACAAAAGCACAGGGCCTATCTGAGGAATGTGTCCGCCATTGAGCAAGTTTTTTCTTGTTATATATTTCTTTTGCTCATCACTCACGACTGCTTGGACGGTGTGGCTCTGAGGATTACGAATTGTCACCGTGCTGGTCCATCGGGTTTTTATTTTGTGTGTTACAAGGGTTCCGGCCAAGAGTGAAGGTCACAGGTCACCGGGCCAGCGGCGGAAAGGTGGGTGCACAGAGCGATCTCCGTTACCGAAGCACCTCAACGAAGGTTTGGCCGCTTGGATTGGTGCCGCGTTAAAGGCGATCCCAACCAGCGACCTTTAACCCTGGGCATGCTGCCTGCTCTGCGAGCTCATATGGGTTTTTTTTAAGGTGGCGTTTTTTTGAGGCTCCACGGTGGCGAGATTTTAACTCCCATGCCTGGTATACACCCACATCTGACGACTGTATATTTGGAGTTTGCATGCTCTCCACGTGGTCGCGTGGATTTTTCTCCAGGTCCTCCGGTTTTACCCTCCACATTTAGAAACATGCATTTAGAAAATTCGGCTGCTATGAATTTCCACATGAGCCACTTCGTTGGGCTATCATTTGTGGCCAGGTCACTTCTGAAAAAGAGCTACGTAGCTCAGTGGGCCCTTACCTGGGAAAATATTTGTTTTTTTTTGACGAGCGGCGGGCGCATGTGTTTTGGTTCGCATTGTTGTACGGTTGACTTCATTACAATAATGTAATGGCTTTAGTCAATCCACTGCTAGATGACGAGCTTCCCCCACGACATGTCAGTCAGCAGGAGGGGGGGGGTGTACTTATACTTCACCATGCTGGTTGGTTTAGTTTATCGTGCAGCAGTGGTCCAGGACTGGTTCAGACATCAATCTCCCCGCTCGTGCTGTTACCCATGGCTGAGAATTGAACGCAGTTTGTCGGATTCATTGTGCGGTGCGCCAAACGTTCCATCCCCTGTTTTTATTGTACGCGAGTGAAACCGCACCGGTGCATTGCCATACCTCCCCTGTAGAGTAGTACATGCGCTAACAAAAGGTGAAGGCACACAGGCCCACGCACGCCTCCACACGCCCACATGATATTTGAAATGTAACCATGTTAAAAGGTGCACAAACATAACATTGCTTCTGTTTGGCCATGCAGACCATTTGGGACCATGCGCTGTTATCGAGCTATGAAAACTTTCAGGGCGCATGAGAGAGGGGGTGGTGGGAGCCGTGTATTGCATGCTTGACCGCCTTTGTCTCTCCAGTGATGGTGTTGACACACCATGCAGGGCTCACACTTTAGGCTCTTCTAGATTTGAAGCTTTCGTGACTGCAAGGATCCATACTCTTTGGTTCTATTCGGTAAAGTTACGCAAAAGTATAAAACAAAAAAAACAAAAAAAATTCACGTTTCGGCCACAACACAAGTGGCCTTCATCAGGTGAAGGGACCAGACTGTCTCGAGGAC